ACTCTTCTATAGGTTCTATAGTGCTATTAACTTAGTACAGCCTTTTCTTAACTACCTTTGTTATACGTCTTCCTTAATATTATATAACTTAAGTTTTTTATCTCTGTTTGCTGTATAGCGTATCAGATTAATTATCTTAGATAAGAATAGCAGGCTACACCCTAACCTACCTAATGTTACAAGTAACAAGAAGGACTCTCTCCTTGACAAATGACGAGATGGCTGAAGGCCTAAGGACGTCCACGTCAGAAGGTAATGATCAACGCGGGGCGTCGATCACGTGACTTGGCATCCCGCCAAGGCATGGCCTCCGGGAGGCCACCGCATAAAGGGAAGCCAATGTCCTCCCAAACCTCCCGCCAAGATGGGATGTCGGGAGGACAGGACAGGAAGCAATGAGGATATAAGGATGGATGGATTTCATTATTTCCTCTCGTTGTGGTCAACTCAAATTGTACTTTCTTACTAGTATCTTTACTTAACAAGATTGTCACAAGTTAGTCTATCAAATAGATTAGTCTTGTCAAACCCTCCTTAAGCACGCCAACTCCACTGTATCGCCAGACAAGCCTCACGGAACACTAACGTAATACTCACCTGCCTTAGTGCGGACCAGGATAGAGAAGTATAGACCTATACCCCGTGTAACACTTTGACCACCCACGGATCCAGTGGAAGGAGGATTAACCAGCAGCGTCCAATTAAGATTGAACCATGTCAGGAAATTCAAGCGAATACGTTAACATCCCAGGCCCGGTGCCTAAGAGAGATATTAATATGACTGGTAGTACCTAAGGGGGAAATAACGAGCCAGCGGCAGGGAGCCCTAAGTACGAACTCGTCAATCTTAGACGCGAGAGCTAAGCCTAAGCAAGGTAGATGGCTGAGTTACAGAATACGATTAACCAACTTATAGGTTAACTAATGGCCACCCCGAACGAGAAACTACTTAAGAAGCCGAAAATGGCAACCCTAGAAAAGTACGATAGAAGTCGCACCGAGTTGTAGACATTCCTTACTAACATCGACTTATATTGTGAATTTAACGAAGTACCTAACGACTAGGAAAAGATTCTTATGGCCAGCACCTATATAAAGGGATAAGCGTCAAGCTGGATGCAGCCATACGTAGAGGACTACCTATTAGACATTAAAAAAAGAGGAACGAAGGACGAGACGCGCGCCTTGTTCACTAGTTGGGCCAAGTTCAAGAAAGAGATAGGACATATCTTTAGGGAAGTGGATGCTCAGAACCAGGTAGAGAAAGCGATAACTCGCCTGAAGCAGACCAGTTCAGTATCAGCGTACACAGCCGAGTTCAAGCAGCTACAGGCACGAATTAACTAGGACGACGCAGCACTTCGAACGGTGTTCAAAGCAGGTCTGAAGGAAAATATTAAAGACGGACTTGTACATCACGACAAACCAAACACGCTTTATACGCTGATTAAGTTAGCGACACGCATCGATAACAGACTATAGGAAAGAAACTAACAAAGAAAATAATCCCAGCCAGTAATAGCCAACATAAGGAAACAGCGTAGCTGGTTCGACAAGAATAGCGACATCATCATAACCAGTAAGGTACAAGACAAGTCTAAGAACAAGAATAGGAAACCCCAAGAACAGTATAACGACGGACTCTCCCTAGAAGAACGTAAGAAGCGTTACAACAACAAAGCATGTCTCTGATGCGGGAAGACAGGACACTTCCGCAGAGACTGCCTAGATAACGAAGTTAAACAAGAAGCGGTCAAGATTAAGATAATTTGGATACCAACACTATACCCAACTAAGGAGCTAGATAAAACCCTCAGCGACCTAGACCTGTACGAAGAAGTAAGACAAGCCACTAATAAGGCCTTTAAGCTAGTACAAGAGGCAATAGGACTCCAAGACTTCAAGTAGAACGCACTACTACCAACGGATTAGCAGATTAAAGGGGCCGAAGTACTACGCCGCCTAAGAAACTAACAGTGCTAGATTTACGAAACTAATGCACATCAAGCTAATAATTATAACATTAATAGACGAGTTACAATCTCAGGACCCCAAGCAGATAAGATTACCTACAGGGCTGCCCAGAAACAACCCAGGTTCAAGGAACCTAATAACGAGGAGACACCTCAGACGTTCAAGGAACGGATAGAGTAACACGAGCGCCTATGTTGGGTCGACTACCCAAGACAGTATAATTATCACTTAAGGAAGCGAGAAGAAACCAGAGACAACGAGAACGATTGCTACCATACTAATTTATGGCATAACGAGTGTCGCGTACAGCATTACCACATACACCAGCCTAGAGAAAAGGAAGCTCACGAAGAGTTATATTAGATTAAGTACACGATCGATTACCAATTCCACAAGGAACAGCAACAGAAAGCTAGAAGAGTAGACGACTACTACCATAGCACGATTTCCACAGAAGAATGCATAGCGAAGAACTACAGAATGCATAGAGCTTAAGTACGGGAAACGCCAGTAGAGTACAGTAAACTCCTATGGACGCATTATAGAAAAGGTTGTGCTATGCACCAACAACAGTTCGAGAATACTCGACAGGTAGGTAATCACTACTATAGTATCCTACCAGCGAATATTTGCGAGGTAAAGAATTGCCTAATTTATAAAAGTAGGAGGCTAGAACTAAGGAAGAGGACTACGTAATAGAAGATACCTTATAAAAATATCTATTAGAGCTTCTGCTATAACAATCAGTATACGATACACTATTCCGCTAAGGTAGGCGAAGGCTACTTCCCAAAGAAGAAGAGAAGCAGGTAGTTAAAAAACTAGAATACTACTAGAGACAGGGTCACGCTGGCAAAGGTAGTCCTAAAACGACTCTTAGATAAGTATAGGAAGTGGGAGCAAAAGAATTGTAATTGAAAGCCATAGTACTTATAGATGGACATAAAGTGCTAGCGCTTATAGATAGTGGGGCCGCACGAACCGTTATATCTCCACAAGTAGTAGAAGGAAACAACATACCCTATTAGAACAAGAAGGTACTAATACGAGTGGTATTAGCCGACGACAGTCCCACGACATACGGGAACGGTTAGATCCGACTTAAGACCAAGGCAGTAACGTTACGCCTGGCTAGTTAAGAAAGCTAAGAAAAGATTAGTATTATGGATCTTAGAGAGACCGAGATAATAATTAGCTACGATTAGTTATTAAAGCACAACCCTGCTATTAACTAGCAAAAGAAGATATTACTTAGCTAAGAGCCTATGCATAAGGTTGCTAGAGTACGACACGAGACACGCCCAACGAATCAGCGCGCAACCTAGAATGGGAGATTCGGCATAATCTCACCGTATAAGATCGCGAGAATCTATGCGAAGGACCCTCAGAATGTAGAAGTTATTTAGATACAGCAGATCGCGACCACGAAGAAAGGATTGGTACTATAGTTGGCGATTCTAATAGAATACTAAACGAACGAGTTTAGAGAACTATTTAAGAAAAATAAGGCAACAGACCTAGCAGACCATCAGGATTAAGATCACGAGATCATTCTTAATAAAGGAGCTAAGTTGAGCCTAGGACTAATATACCCTATAGCGCCCGAGCATAATGCTAAGCTGCAGGATTACATCCAAAAGAACTTAAAAAAGGGATTTATCCGACTAGAATCAGGCCTAATAGTCTCACTTATCTTATTCGTAAAGAAACCTAACGGAAGTAGCGACTATATGTCGACTTCAGAAGGTTGAATAGCGTAACTTAGAAGAACTAATATCCCTTACCACTTATTATAGAGCTTATGAATTAACTCTAGAGAGCTAAGTAGTTTACGAAGTTCGATATTTAGGAAGGATTTTACTAAATTAGGATTAAAGAAGGTCACGAATGAATAACAGCGTTCAAAACGAAGTATAGACTCTTTAAGTACACAGTTATGCCGTTCAGATTAATAAATACGCTAGTAACCTTTTAATTAGTTATTAATAACGCTCTCTACAAATACCTTAGAATCTTTATTACCGCGTATCTAGACGATATACTAGTATACTCTAGCGGCACACGCGAAGAATATATTAAGTATATTAAGAAGGTTTTACAAAAGCTTAAGAAATATAAGCTATACCTTCAACTAGGAAAATATAAATTCTATATATAGAAAATAGAATTTCTCAGATTTATTATATTAACTAAAGGAGTAAAAATGAACTCAAAGAAGATACAGACTATATAGGAATAGCCAATACCTAAAACAGTTAAGGATATTTAATTCTTCTTAGGATTTACGAATTACTATTAAAAGTTTATTAGAGATTACTTAAAGATCACAGCACCTCTTACGGAAGTAACAAAAAAGGAAATAGGTTTTAAATAGGAATAGGAACATTAAGAGGCTTTTAATTAAATTAAGCAGATATTCCTAGAGGCGCTAGTACTCGAGATATACAGCCCTTAACAACCTACTAGAGTTAAGACCGACGCGTCTAACTATGCACTTAGAGCTGTATTATCACAGTAGTGCCCAGATAGGAAATAGAGACTAGTATTCTACCATTCACGGAAGTTCTCTAGAGTAGAACTTAACTATGATGTTTATGATAAGGAACTACTTAGAGTAGTTGATGCCTTTAAACAATAGGAAGTGTACCTACTAGGACTCTCTAAATAGATTAAGGTTTTTACTAATTACCAGAACTTAACAAGTTTTATAACAATAAAAAAACTTAACTAACGACAAGTACGATGGGCAGAGATGCTAGCCTAGTTCAACTTCAAGATCACGCACCGCGCAGGGACGCTTAACGGAGCAGCAGACGCTTTAAGTAGAAGGTCTAATTTGCGCGAAGAGGGTTATAAAGAACCACATAACGCCTTACTTAAGACGATGCCCGATGGTAGTCTAAAGTACAACCAGCCGGAACTAGCTAAGGTAGCTAAGGTGGCCGAGCAGGTAGAAACACTATAGAAATAATAGCAGGAAAAGACAACGCTATAGGCGTTAGAAACGGACCTCTACCCGCCAGAAGTAACAAATAATAGGAAAGAGCTTAAAGCTCTAAGAGAATGTACAAGCACGTACATACCTTCATATATAAGAACCGAACTCATTAAGACTCTATACGAGTCCCCAGAATATGGACACGTAGGTGTGGACGAAATAGTTAGACGACTAGCTAAGGTGTTTGCAATACTACGCTTGCGAGCGAAGGTGTAGGAAATACTAGGTAACTATTTGGCATGTTACTAGAACAAGCCTAAGAGACATAAGCTCTACGGCCTATTATAACCTCTACAGCCACCATCTAGACTATAAATAAGCGTAACAATAGACTTCATAGTGAAGCTCCCGAGATCGTTAGAACTAGGATTAGCTCAATTTTGCGACACAATCCTAGTAATTATAGACCAACTAACTAAGGTAGTAAAATTTATACCTATAGAAGAGACTATTACAGTAGATAAATACGCGTACGAGGTCACAAAGGCACTAGTGTCAGAGTATGAGATACCTAAAGAGTTCATTACCAATCGTGATAAACTATTTACGTCTAAATACTAGAGCACATTCCTAGCAAAGTTAGGTGTTAAGAAGAAGCTTTCAATAAGCTTTCACCCAGAAACAGACGGCCAGACGGAACGCACGAACTAGACATTAGAACAGTACCTACGGATGTACGCTAACAAATTATAGAATAACTAGGTAGAGTTACTACCGACAGCGTAATTAGTCTACAACAGTACAAAATCAGCAATAACAAAGCATTCGCCGCACTACGCGAACTATAGATATAAGCCAACCACTTACCAAGATCCAAAGGACATTGAAAGTATCGCGGTAGGAGTAGACGACAAGGCGAAGCTCATGCAAGAATTGCACAAAGAATTAAGCAAGAATATAGCCTAATAAAACCTCACAATATCCAAAGCAGCGAATAAACTAAGGATTAAGGGACTAACCTTTAAGAAAGGGGACAAAGTTTTCCTATCAAGACAAAACCTAAAAACTAAACAACTATACAGAAAATTAGACAACCTCTAAATAAGACCATTCGAAATCCTAGAGGAAATAGGAAAAGTAAACTATAAGTTAAAACTCCTATAAGGCATACGAATCTACCCTGTCTTTCATAAGAAACTCCTAGAACCAGCACCTCTAGATACTAAGCTAGCAACGGACATAGAGCTCAAAGACAACGAGTACGAGGTCAAGGAAATCAAGAACCTGCGAAAAATCGGTAGTTAGTAGAAGTACTTAGTTAAGTAGCAAGAATGGCCCAAAAGCCATAACACTTAGGAACCTAAAGGAAACCTAACGAACTGCAAGTCACTAGTACGTAAATACCACCAGAAGCACCTAGAGAAGCGAGGGGAAGCCCCTTAAAAAGGAAGGAGTAATCAAAGGAAGAATTGAAGGAATTAGCCTGTAACCAGCCCAGATCAGTCAACAACTCAGATAGCGGTGGTTTGACAATAGGAAGGCCCGTACCGCCAGGGGCTGAGCTCCCCTCAGCCTACTCTTTCGCACGATCCTATAGACTCAAGATAGCATGGTCACGATTGGCGTACGACCGCTCAAGGGCCTCAGTCTCAGCAACCTCCAGACGAAGACGCGTAACTTCGGCCTCAGCCCGCAGAAGAGCCAACCGTTTTTAACGCTTGTCTGCTTCCACCTTTTCCCACTCCTTCTCAGTCACGAATAAGCTACAATCAGCTTTCACAGAAATACAACCGGCATAACGCCCCGTAGCGGTGTCCATAAAACAATAAAGGCCCTTCTCTTTACAACGTTTACAACGAAAAGTCATTTCGTTCCCCTATAATTGAATACGGTCAGCACGAGCCTGGCGCTGTCGAGTCGAGTTCTTAGGACGAACGCGACGGGAAGACTGGACCTTAGGCATGGTTAGGAAGGCTACGAGGCAGAGACGGCTACAACGAGTGGGCGGGCTCTGACCTTATATGCAGCCGGCGTCTCAACACGCGGCACGGGAAAACAATATTCCAGGGTATCGAGACGATAGCCCTAAGAGGGGAGGTAATGTTACAAGTAACAAGAAGAACTCTCTCCTTAATAAATGACGAGATGGCTGAAGGCCTAAGGACGTCCACGTCAGAAGGTAATAATCAACGCGGGGCGTCGATCACGTGACTTGGCATCACGCCAAGGCATAGCCTCCGGGAGGCCACCGCATAAAGGGAAGCCAATGTCCTCCCAAACCTCCCGCCAAGATGGGATGTTGGGAGGACAGGACAGGAAGCAATGAGGATATAAGGATGGATGGATTTCATTATTTACTCTCGTTGTGGTCAACTCAAATTGTACTTTCTTACTAGTATCTTTACTTAACAAGATTGTCATAAGTTAGTCTATCAAATAGATTAGTCTTGTCAAACCCTCCTTAAGCACGCCAACTCCACTGCATCGCCAGACAAGCCTCACGGAACACTAACGTAATACTCACCTGCCTTAGTGCGGACTAGGATAGAGAAGTATAGACCCATACCCCGTGTAACACCTAATTTAGGTATTGTAAAAATTAACGTCATAGTTAAAGTATATACTAAAAAGAATTTACATAGGTGATTATTAGTAAGACCCTATTTTAAAACCTAAAACATATTAGAGATCTAAACTAATCAGCTAATCTCTGACATAATCCGGGTGCTTGGCACTATACTTAGATTCTTTAGTCAACCCAATCCCTGAACAATTTATCTATCTATTACGTCTATAGCTACGTAATCTACTACTAGATAGATTCATCTAGAATCTAGTACAGCTAATATATATAGTAGTAGAATAGCTAGTAGATAGAAACTAGAGTAGATCACAGAGCGGATTACAAAGAGCAGATTACTAGTGTAACGGCGCAGGCAAGACTACTCGGATCAGTATCGGCGGTAGTGTCACTCAGAGGCATATGGGAGTGCGTGGGACATCAAACGAGCCTTAATTCGAATAGACACCTATAGGCCTTGTACGAAAGGATATCAAAAGTCTACAGAGCTAGCTACAGGGAGTGTCTCCTTATATACTTATCTTAGTCGGATCCGAATCGGATCCGACCTCACAACGAGTGGTTGATGAAGAGGGCGGCGAGTACTACCTCCGATCCGGCTCTGGGATTGGTCCGATACATGGCGAAGTTGTAACATCGTTACAACTAGTGCAGACAACAAGAACAGATCGGATCAATCTAATTCTTCAATCTCTCTCCCCTAGCATGATTTCTTTTCTACCTAGAACCTATCGATTCGCTACCTCTGAGCTAGCCATTGAAAAAGTAGCACCCTCCTTATTCCAACATAGTATAATAAACTATAGTTAGTTGTAATAAAAATAGGTAGTGTAGTAAAACGCTCTGACGCCTATAAATTCGCTATATCCGTCTTCTATCTCTCTTATCTTATTACCACCGCCTATTCATTTAAACTTAATCTCGATACTTTTTAATATAACATTGAACTTCCTCTCGTAGCTCTTATTCTCGTCTTTACTCTATCTACTACTAATCAAGACTACTACGTTTATTAACCCTATAATAGCTTTCTTTAAGTATCCGCCTAAAAAAATATAAAGATATATAGAGATAGATAATAGATAGGTTCTATAGATTAGAAGCTAGCCTAGACTCTACGAGCCTTATCGACCTAAGGGCGATCTAGCGAATAGGCAAGTACGCCTACGTAAGCAGTTTAGACGCGCTTATAATCTACTAGATGAGCGTAGATATTATAACTATTGATATATTAGAGTTAGAACTTAAGTTAGACCCGTAGGTGTCTCTGTGGTAATGTACATACCTTTTAGTATAGGCGGCGGCGCGAGTATTTGCCCCTTACAAAGAGACTAACTAATATCGTACGGTATAGGCTGCTGTAGTGCGTCGTACGCTCTTAAACTAACCCGTACGAAAGGCCCAACTAGTAAGATTAATTTAACCTTCTTACTACATAAGTATCGCGTTCTTTTAACAAGGCATCGTCTTTCGTACGTGAAGTTCGTAATGCTAAGAAAAAGTCGCCCTCTCTATGAGGTGGCCCTCTCGATGGTGGAATACGTTATATTTCTTTATATCACCCCTCTGTATTATATATGCTCTTATTTAAAGTCTAACTAGTGTAGAATCAGCAGGCGAGGTAATCACATGCGAACAGTATGTGTATGTCAATTGGGGATGGATCATCTTGCCCATTGTTGAGGTGGCAATGGGAACTATTTTTCTCGTTGCTACGTTGCTACAGAGCTGGAGGAAAGTTGTAGTGGCATGGAAAGGTTCACCTATCATATCTCTTGTTACGGAGATGGAGGGTTGGCATAGTGGGGAGTATAGAGCAGGGTCTGTCCCGGAAGCCGACAAGATGGCGAGAAGAATGACAGGTTTGTTGGAGAGCAAGGACGATGATGGTCAGATATTTAGATGCGTATAGTAGTGTCCGTTTTCTTTGCTAGAAACAAGTACAACAAGGCATTGATGAGCAGCACGTCACACATACGCCTTGAATGACAAAAGTGAAATTAGTCGTTTCCCACATAGCCCATACCTTTCCTCCACCACTCCCAGACACCTAGGCTTTCCATCTTTGCTCCAAAACCTTTTACAGTGTCCACCTCCTCTAGCTTCCCGTACGTGATGCCACTCTTTGGTTCCTTTCCGCCAGGTTCTTTCTCAGTAGGCTTCTTGACTAGTTGGAAATCTTTATAGCGCAATCTTTGGACATTCACAACCCAGTCTCTCACGCCAGTCTCTACGCCTTGACAGTACATAATACCAGGGCATCCGCCACTACGCAACAAAGCGTAAACATTGCAACTCGACGCTGCCGCTTTGAGTTTGGCGACTTTCTTGCGTGAAGTGATGTGATGTGTTCGAATCAGCGCGTTGTACAGCTGATGAGACATTCCGTTGATTTGAGTTGTCCAAAAGTCAAGGATGGCATGTATAAGGCTGGGTTCCAACGTTCCAACGACCTGTGATACACGTGCAAATATTATGGCGCACGTGACGTCACTAGCGTCAAATGATTTTCCAGGAGCGCAGAAACGCTATGACGTGCAGGCAAGGCTCAAGCAAAAGATTTGATCAATGACCGTATGGATCGATTCCGCATCCATATTGACTCCACGGGAAAGTTATGAAGACAACTCTGATACAGAGAGTTGCCGCCCCATCGCCGTCGGTTTTGAGCTTCCTGCGAGCTCAGGTCAATAATGTTTTCCCATCGCCTATGGCGCAATGCGCCCACACCACTCAGCAATATCGCGGTTATGCTATCGGCGGTCAGATAGGCAGGAGCCCGAGAAAATGCTCGTTTGCAAGAGTTGCAAGTCACTTGCAGAAAGGAGACTTTTCTGGCGGCAGAAGATTCGTTACCTCTAGGTGCCTAATCGAACACAAAGTATCCCCTCTACCTCAAGACTGTTCGCTTGTTCTTCGACACACCCCGCACACCTCGTTGCAGCATGTCGATTGCTTCACCTACCGGGCATTTTCCACAACTCGCGCTAACAATGGATGGAACATTTTCAACAGTGCAAAAATGCGAAAGCTGGCACAGTTGCAACCGCCACCTCCACCACCAGACGACTCGTCCTCTGGATCTTCGGGGTTCGGAAGTAGTCTGGGACGTATAATGCGGCCGACGAACGAGCTGAAGATGCGCTGCACGGAATTAGACGAGCACGGCAACGTCACGCTGGTCAGTGGAGAGTTTAAGAAGAGCGAACTGATCGCAAAGGTATGTAAAGCGGACGGTATATCGACATATTGTAGCTAACGATCTGGGTATAGTATGGTCTTCTTCCGCGCGACCTTCGCAAAATCGACTCCTCGCTCCTCCCACATATCTTAGTCCGACCATCCGCGATCCTCATAAATCTCCTTAATCTGCGGGTATTGTTGAAACATAATCGGGTCCTCGTATTTGACGCATACGGTACTACAGATTCGAAATCGCAGTCGGTCTTCATGTACGATCTCGACCTGCGACTCCGTCAAAAAGAATCGACCCTCAACGGCACCCTTCCATACGAGTTTCGGGCACTGGAAGCCGTCTTGATCAGTGTAACCTTAAGCTTGGAGAAAGAGTTCGAAGGGGTCAGCGAACCAGTTGTGAGAGTCCTCAGGGAACTCGAGGAGGATATTGACCGAGACAAGCTCCGATACCTGCTGATTTACAGCAAGAAGCTCGGTAGTTTTGAGCAAAAGGCACGATTGGTCAGGAACGCACTGGAGGAATTACTCGAGGCAGACGACGATCTAAGCGCCATGTACTTGACTGAAAAGGCAGAGGGCAAGGTGCGGCAAGACGACGACCACACCGAAGTCGAGATGCTCCTGGAATCGTACCACAAGGTCGCCGATGAGATTGTACAGGCAGCCGAGAACTTGGTATCGAGCATTAGGAACACAGAGGAAATGTATGTAACTTTTCCTTTTTCTCAGTCTCTCTATAGTGTTACTGACAGTACTGTACAGTGTCAAAGCCATTCTAGACGCCAACCGCAACTCGCTCATGCTTCTCGACCTCAAATTCTCCATCCTCACCCTCGCAATCACAGCCGGTACCTTTGTTGCAGCCCTCTACGGCATGAATCTCAAGAACTTCATCGAAGAATCGGACTACGGGTTCTACGGTATCAGCGCTTGGTGCTCCGTATTTGGCGCTCTCGTCGCGGTATACGGTTTGCTCCGGCTGCGCAAGGTCCAAAGAGTTAGCATGTACGGACATGGTCCCGGTGCGCTTGTTACTCGGGAGCCGACGAGACCAGTAGTAGCTGCAGGAGGTGGATGGGGTCTTGGGGCTTGGGGCGGAGGCAGCAGGAACGGTGTCAGTAGGGGAGACAGTATTATGCCTACCGGAGTGGATCTAGCTGGCATGCCAAAGCGAATGGATACGTTTGCCAGTGTCCTGGAAAGAGAGAGAGCAATGGCACGGAAGATGGCAAAGGATGATGCCAGAGGGGATGACGCGAAGAGAGTTTAACATGGGTTTTTTCTCCCTTTTTTCTACCCAACTCTTTGGAGGACCTGTTGCAGCGTTCCCCGTTTTTTTTACATCTCTGCTCAGATATCCCTCCTCATCTGTTTACGCTACATGTACGATTATTCCCGGGGATCTTTGTCGCACAGCGTTGGCGTTTGGGAATATATATGAGAAGGAAATACATCTTAGACTAGACACATTTACATCGTTATTGTACGAGTACATATAACCTAGTGGATAAGCGAGTGACGCACCCCACCAAACCCACGCACCTCTATTGGCGTATAGTCCTACTATAATACAATTATCTTACTATATGTTAATATAGTAGATTAAGTAGTATTTAGAGTATCTTTCCTACATATACGCGCATTATAGCTAGTCTCTCTGCACTTACTACAGCGTGCTAGAGCCTAGCGACTGATGTAACGGGCTGAACGCCCTTTGGATAGCTCCTCGATAAGATCTCTGTTCGTCCTTCGCGCACTACCAAACGATGCTTAGACAACGGGCTCTATTAGCCTAATAGTTATTTAGGTAACTTATACTACATATATATTGATAGATATATAGCTTAGAAGCTTAGCTCTTTATTAAATAATATCTCTTATATATGTTATAATTACTGCTGGAATAAGGGGGGTGTTACTTGTTCTATAGCTAGCTCAGAGGTAGAGTTGTCTACTTGTCTAGCGATAGACTCAGAGGTAGCGAATCGATAGGTTCTAGGTAGAAAAGAAATCATGCTAGGGGAGAGAGATTGAAGAATTAGATTGATCCGATCTGTTCTTGTTGTCTGCTCTATCTTCTATCTAGTACTTCTATCACTAGTATTTATACTAGCTAGTAGCTATAGATTACGTTATATACACATAACCTTTATTTATCTCTTACGCTACTAATACACTCTTGATACACTAGTAGTATGATAGTATAGATCGCTAGGGTATAGCGATCTAATCGATTGATAGATCGATCTTATCAAAGATCAGCTGAATAACTTAGATCTCTAACAGTATTTAATAAGAAGCTATCTACTCTACTTACATAGTATTTATTTACTCGTTAGAGCAAGGCTATACTAAAGTGTCTAAGCGCGTTATCTAAGCGCTGCTTAGGCGGTAAGAAGAATCTAGGTGCTCTAGGTAACACCTAGATTCTGCGCTCGTTGTCTAAATATAGTTTAGATAGCGCGCGCGTAGCTTAAACTAAGATCCTATTAAGGAGCTATCTAAGGGACATTTAGCCTATTATAATACCCCTCTTTAGGGTAGTACTACGTTACGTCTTTAAATCTCTTTTAGAAGGTAGCCTTTACTATCTCGTTTTATAACGAGCTAAACGCCCTTTAGATAGCTTCTTAATAGAATCTTAGTTTAAGCTGCTTACGCGCTATCTAAACTATATTTAGACAACGAGCGCAGAATCTAGGTGTTACCTAGAGCACCTAGATCCTTCTTACCGCCTAAGCAGCGCTTAGATAACGCGCTTAGACACTTTAGCACAACCTTACTCTAACGAGTAAATAAATATTCTGTAAGTAGAGTAGATAGTTAGCTTCTTATCGAATATAACCTCTTATATACCTCGCGATTGCTACCCAGAGCGCAGCCCCTTACAGCGCGTTAGTAGTAGAGTATCGCTTTAGTTACGTTGTAGACTTCAGTAGTAAAGTAATTACTTTAAATTTAGCTAGTATAGATAGATAAGATAGTAGGCTAAGTATCTACTTTATTTAACTAGAATTAAGTAACGTGTTGTGGAGCTATAATATAGTAGGAGAAGAGAGGTGCGTCACTCGCTTATCCACTACGTTATGTATCCCAATCTTACTTGAACATATTCTATGCACCAATAGTCCGGTCCATATCTTTGCTCCCCCCATATCCCTGCTCCCGCCTCTGCTTTGCTGCGCCTTCGTCATCACCAGCTAGCGCCTCAGTCCCTCCAAATCCCGTGTCTGCCTTTGCCTCACCGCTTGACGTCGTGGTCTTGCCGCCCATGCTGCCCTCCTGGATGCTTTGGCCGTAGCGGATCTTGTCTGCAGGCGTGATGCCATGCGTGTTTGGGGCCCCGGGGTCCGCAGTCTTTGCGTGGACTGATGTGCCTTCTGAAGAGTCTGTGGGAAGTGATAAGATAAGTGGGTTGCATTATGGAAAATGGAGGGGACATACTGCTCAATTGGCCGTATTTCTTGTCGTGTGGTTCGACATATGTGTGAACGCCTTCGTATTGGGTTTGCTCGCCGCCAGCTTCAGTGTCCATAAGTTTGTCTGACATGATGATGAATGGAGTATAGCTGAATTGATATGAGAAGGCACGAGTATGGTAGTTGATTCAGAAGGTATATGTGGTATGTAGTGTAGTTGAAGCTCAGAGAGCTCGAGGTATTTGGGTAGGTTCGATAATAGCTTATGACGTAACTACCAGACGCCGGTACGCGAAACGCGCTCAACAACGCCAGAACACCTCACGCTAAGTCTGCCCGTGCCTGATTCTTATTCTACTTATCTTGATAATCCTTCCCGGTGATATTGCCCCATCTATTATGCGGAATCGAAGTCCAAGCCCATGGAATAGCTGCGATGAGTGTTAGTCTCATACGCAAATTGTTGATATCTCCAATCTTTACATACCTTTCGTATAGCCTCATGTACTTGGCAACAAACGCCTCGAGGTGGAATATATGCTTAGCGCCCATCTTACACCTATGCTCATAAAAGGCCGCCCATTTGATGACCTCTGGCTTCAGTGCATCATCCGTTTTTGGTATGAGTTTCCAGGTGAGTGTTTTGATGATAGTCGTCGGGTCGATACAGTGTGACAGAAGATCGTAGAGGGAAGCGCGAACCTGAAGGAGCCGTTGGGGAGAGCGCTCTTCGACAATTTGGCGGGCAATCTGCTCGATGAGCGCTTCCCAATCGGGAGGGGGAATATGTGTCTGATCTGTAATCTTCTCACTAGTCGTGTGTCAGTTGCAGCTGGATATGTAAAGACAAGACAACAGCGTACTTTTGTGCATGCACTGCTTCGAACATCAAGAGAGCCTTTCGCAGGTTTCGTCCACTATCTTTCGCTATCCTCTGGTGTAAGCTTTCAATATCCTTCCATCCCTCCTTCTTTCCCACTTTGCTCAGCACATCGCAGATCTCAGCCTCGGTAGGCGCCGCAACTCTGACAAGCAACGTTCTACTTCTGATGGGAGCAATGATGTTGCTCGTCGAGTTTGCCAGCAGAATCAATCGCAAGTTGGGGCTGTATTTTTCCATGGTTCGCCTTAACGCTGCTTGGGCATCTCTCGTCAGATGGTCGGCTTCGTTGATGACGACAATCTTGAAGCGTTGCTTTGCGCCCAAGTCGACCTGCTGCGTCTGCGCGACCTCCTTGAGCAAGTCCTGTACCACTACCCTGTCATAGTTACCAACATCTGAAGGCGTAATCTCGAGGTGATATACGGAGGCGACAATGTTGAATTCGAGCTTGCGGTTCGTTGTGGTCTGGAAGACACGCGCATCGATCTTGATCTTTTCGACACCAGGGCCATAGAGTTCTTTGAGGGTTGCGACGATGCGCGTTTTCTTGCCTGCTCCAGAAGGGCCGTATACGAGGAGATGAGGGAAGTCGCCGCTTTGTGCCTGGCGTGCAATGTGTTAGGTGCATCCCATATGCATGCTAGGTGTTGCTGTGAGATTTCTTACTAGAGCTCGTAGGCGATCTGAAAGCTCAGGATGGTAGCTGAGCGCTTCAAGGTTACGCGGCCGATGCTTGTCCACTAAAAGTGCCATTGGGTGATTGTGGTATGTGAGAGCGTTGGTTGGAATGTAAAAGCTGTCGCAGCGTGCACTAGACAGACGCGTCGACGCGTAAAGTGGTCAATGGCTTGGCATCTAAGGGCAACCATAGCCGTGACACGCCCGTCGGATCACCAGCTCGGTTTACGAAGTTTCTTGCATATCGAAATTCAAGGGCCTTAGCTCTCAGTATACAACCTAGACATAACACACTCGACCCTTTCTCCTCATCACCCTGTACCTGACGTTATAGTGTAACTAGCCCAGGGCCGGATCGACCCCGCTAGCCCCGCGACAGCAAATCCCTACTACCTTCAAGAGTTGGATAATAAGTATACTTGTTGAAATATCTTAGGCAGACATTATGGCATTGCCAATAAGACGCAACTCCCTTCTACAGTCCCAGAACCCCCTTCAACCCTCTAATCTTACCCCTCAAGTTTCCATAGCCCAACCATACAATTCCCTGCGCCATATTCCACGCCTTGACCCCCGCACCCTCACCCTGCAGTGGAATATCCATCGGAGGCGGAATCCCCGTCTTGATCCCCACCCACGCCCAGCGATCCCTCGTAATACTCTTCTGATTGCACAGACTCCTCAGCCCTTCTTTTCCTGCGAAACGACCATAGCCACTGCCCTTTGTGCCGCCAAACGGCATCTGCACCATGTAGTAGACGGCAAAGTCGTTTACAGCGACCATGCCGGCATGCAAGGAGCGCACGACGAGCTCGAGATCGCGATTAGAAGAGCCAAACACCGAGGAACCGAGGGCGTACGAGGTACTGTTTGCAATGGAAACGGCGCCTGTGACAGATTCGGCGCGCATGAGCAGGAAGACCGGAGCAAAGAGCTCCGTCTGGGCGATTTTCATGCTGGGTGTAACGTCTACTATGAAGGTAGGACTGAAGTAATGGCCTTTAGGGAACTCTGGGTGAGTGTAACGCTTTCCGCCTGCCAGGACGCGAGCACCGTTGTTGACGGCGTCTTGAATGAGATCTTCAAGCCTGGAGTAGCCGGCATCAGAGATGGAAGCGCCAACGTCAATCGGCATGTCCGATGAAGTGTTCAATATGGAGCCAGGACGTAGGGCACGGATCTTCGGTGTGAGGTACTCGATGAGGCGATTGTAGACCTTTGGAAGTGCAATGACGCGCTCGATTCCAATGCAGTTCTGACCTGCAGACTGGAAGGTGCCGCGCATAAGGATGCTGGCGATGCGCTTAAAATCGCTATTTGATATGTCGTCGAGAACAATGGCCGGGTCCTTTCCTCCGAGTTCGACACATACTGGTGTGAGTGCCTTTGCGGCCGAGGCACAGACGTGATGTGCCACTGGGCGTGAGCCAATGAATGTTATATGCGAGATTGATGGATGCGAGGTGAGGTGGTCAGCGACGTCAGGCCAGCAAACAACAGATTGCACAATATCAGGCGAGTGACCACATGCTTCCAAAGCACGGGTAGCAATAGAAGCGAAGTATGAGGACGACCAGGCGGTAGCTTCAGAGCCTTTGACGATGATTGCGTTGCCGGCGAAAATGGAGGCTATGACAGGGCTGATGAGGTTGTGAAAAGGGTAGCTGTAACCATGTTAGCTAGAATGCTTCCCTGTTAACGGTCATGCGATACTCACTTCCAGCTCACGCAGGCTGCGACGACGCCCAGCGGTTCGTAGACAACTTCATTCCACTTGTACATCATGAGGAGGTTTGTGTCTCTCTTCTCAGACTTCAGGCTGTTTTCTCCATGCTTAATTGTCCACCTCAGCTTCTCCACAGTCACAAGTATCTCACCCAAACTGGCATCCACCATAGTCTTGCCGGAGTCGAGGCAGGCAACCCTTGCAATGGCCTCTTGGCTTTCGAGGATAAACTGGAGCATTGTACACAGCACCTTGCGGCGCTGGCGAAAGCTTGTCTGTGCCCATTTCACCTGGGCGTCTTTGGCTTTGGCGATTGCACGGTCGATACCGTCTGCGGTGGAGGGGTTGATGCGCCCGAGGGCTTCACCAGTTGCGGGGGCGTAGCATTGGATGAGTGAAGAACCAGAAACCTAAAACAAGTCAGTTTGCATTTCTGGATTTTGAGCCGATTTCTGTACCTTCAATCCAGGCTCGTCAAGCACTTTGCCCTTCCATCCCTTCTCGGCTTCCTGGGGTGTTTCGACGGTGTATTTGACCGGCTCTTCTGGATCCGCACGGCACGTGAGCCAGATGAAAGAAAGGGCAGCTATCCAGAGCGTGCCATACAAAACAACGTTGAAGTCGTTGTCAGCGCGTGCGGTGATACGATCCATGCTGGCAGGCTGGCGCGCATGCGGCCAAAAGTCGCGTATGTCGCTTCAGGAAAATGCAACGTTGGACCCTGACGCAATGCTCGGGAATGGCGCTAAAACGCGTGTTCATCTGCAAGCGACTCGAAACCATGACTTCACAGGTTATTTCAATTAATACAAAGCTCGGCTTAACCCTTGATATATGTAGTGGTATCATTTATCCGTTATTCATCATTGCTATACATGACTGCCTATGTGCTTCCTCGCACCCTGACTGTCGCTTTCATTCACAACGCCCAATCCGCAATTATTTTGCGTTGTTCTTGGGCGCATCCAGGGGAGGCCCAGTAGGCGTAGTGTAGCACTTGGTCATACCACCGTCAATGACAAAGTCAGTTCCGTTGACGAAGCTGCTCTCGTCGCTGGCAAGGAATAGGACACCTTGAGCCTGCTCAACGGCCTCACCAAAACGGCCTGTGGGGAAGTGGACTTCGCGACGGTGACGCTTCTCTTTGTCGTCACCGAGCCAGTCTTGAAGGAGAGGTGTGCTGCATTGGTTAGCATTTCAAAGACCCAACATGGCACATGGAGAAGCTTACTTCAATGGTGCTGGGCACAGCGAGTTGAATCTGAAGCCCTCACGTGCGTGGACCATTGCCAGTTCCCTGGTCATGGCCAAAACAGCGCCCTTGCTTGCTGTGTATGCGAGCTGTGGTGTTGCACTGCCCACTAATGCAACCACACTGGCGGTGTTGATGACGCTCGTCTTATTCTTGCCGTGCTTTTTGAAGCTGTTGACTGCGTGCTTGCAACCAAACCATACACCCTTTACGTTGATGGCTTGGGTCAAGTCCCAGATCTTTTCAGGCGTGTTGACAGCATCATCGTCGTTGGCGTGCATGATGCCTGCGTTGTTGAACAGGACATCTACACCACCCCATGAATCCACGTGTTCAATCATGGCCTGAACATCGGCTTCTTTGGATACATCGGTGACCTTGGTCTCAACTTTCTTGGCCTCTGGAACCACCTCTTTCAGCTTGGCAGCAGCCTTTTCTAAGGCCGGGCCGGAAATATCAGAGAGAAGGACATTGGCGCCTTCCCGAGCAAAAAGGATACCGGTCTCGAGACCGATTCCACTGCAAATGGTCAGTATGCGGTTTTGGACGTGGGGCTGATGTATGCGCTGTGACCATGCAACACTACATGGCAGTGAACGTAATGTGTCATCCGGCAAGCAAAACAAGTAGGACAAATGGTACTCAGCAGCGCCATCAAGTCGATATAAACCAAGAATTGAGGATATTGATAGGAATTGTGGCATATGCAAATAGAAGATGCTTGCTTACCCAGCTCCTCCAGTAATGATGCAGTTCTTGTTCTCTAGACGGCCCATGTTGAATTTCTCAACTCGACGCTTATTCAGGTACTATGTGTAGCAAAAGAGGCTGCAACGGTGTCAATGGGTGATGCGGGCAAGGCAAAGTTTTGTGTCAAGCTGCGAAATATGACTAATATAAACTAGAAAAAGCGTCATACGAACAGCACACTGCATCGTGAATGGGGAAAGTATGCCAGCCGACGGGCAACAGGGACGACGACTCCGCACTTACCTTTGAGTTGGAGGTTGGAGTATGCACTGGCGTATGAGAGTGTCGGCGGCTTCAAGAAGACGAGGGAGGGGAAATGGTGGACGGGTAATCTCGGACAGTGAACCGGTCATTCAGACAGTCACGGGTCCGAGAATCGGCCCAAGGCATTGATAGTCGACGATAAGGACTATTAGAGCACGTTTGCTGCTGTCACCGCTGGGCGGGCTTTGTTGGAGCAGTGGACGGCTTCACTGGGGCAGCCTTGCTTGAATGGCTTGAGCATACTCGCACCCTTGTTCCGGACGGCCATTCTACGTGACATGAGGGTGGGTTGCCCCGCCATTCGGACATGACGCGTAGCCCTGTGTGGTAGGTCTGGCGTCTCGCGGCTTATCACGGGAGTGGCATGGGGAGCTATCTTGTCGCATTGGGTATTGGGTAGAGATGTCGTGCAGGAGGGTGGAAGATAGCAGAGGGGCGGAAAATGCAATATATAGTAGTTGCGCGTCTGCACACCGAATCGATGATGTCGCCAGCCCGCATTGTATCATCACCCCTCATTGGTCCAAGCTCAATCGCATCCGGACCGCCTTTGGCTGCGTCAAGCTCTCTCACGTCGCGTGCCTGCTTGAAAACCTGATTGCGCCGGCGCTCGTATTTCCTTCCGCTGGCCGTCTGTCAACTCTTCCGTCTCACTCACACAAACTCTCAACACCTGGTCCTCTCTGTCGCGCCCCTCGACATCATGCCCGCCGGCTTCGACTCCTCCAGCTTGACGGCCGAGCAGTTGCCCGAGCTTCTCAAAGATGATCTGTCAGTCAAAGTCGCGGGGATCGACGTTGATGGTATTCTACGTGGAAAGCTCATGGCCAAGAAGAAATTCCTCAGCATTGCCAACGAAGGCTTCGGCTTCTGCAGTGTCATTTTCGGCTGGGACATGCACGACCAGACATACTTTAAAGAGCTGGCCATATCCAACAAGGAGAACGGCTACCGTGACTTGATCGCCATACCGGATCTCACATCTTTCCGAAGGATACCGTGGGAGAACAATGTACCCTTCTTCCTTATAAGTTTTTACGATCCCGACACCAAAGACACCCTGAGTGCATGCCCAAGAAGCCTGTTAAAACGTACCGTCGACAAGCTCAGGGGCAAGGGCTATGGTGCCATGGCTGGAGGTGAGTCGCATGCCAGTGGAAGATCAGATACTGCGCGTCTTTAATGAAGCTGATGTGTATTGTCCAGCCGAGTACGAATTTTATCAATTCCGCGCACCTCAAAGCCACGATGGATCGGAAAAGAATACCTCAAGTACAGCTTCCTTTTTGCGTAACAATCCAGTCGACGCCCTACCCAGCCTTACAGAGGGCATGTTTGGATACAGCATCACCCGACCGGTCCACAACCAGGACTACTACTATAGTATCTTCAACACCTGCGCCGAGTTCGGTTGTGGCATCGAAGGATGGCATACCGAGTCTGGTCCTGGAGTCTTTGAAGCTGTAAGCGATACCCATCGCGCCGTAGAATGTGGAGTTCATAACTAATATACCACAGGCCCTTGAGTTTGGCTCAATCGAGAGCATGGCAGACAAGGCTTCCCTTTTCAAGCTCGTTGTCAAATCTCTCGGATCCAAGTACGGAATAACACCATGCTTCATGGCAAAACCGCGCGAAGGCCTTCCGGGTAACAGTGGACACATGCACGTGTCGATTGTAGACGCCGATGGCAAGAACTTGTTCTACCGTGAAGAAGAGGACAAGAACGCGCCCTACTCAGACATCCGATATCTATCAGACCTAGGCCGACATTTCCTTGCAGGTCTCATCGACGGTCTTCCAGACATTATGCCCATCCTTGCGCCCAATGTTAACAGTTACAAGAGGTTAGTTGAAAATTTCTGGGCACCCGTCACTGTATCATGGGGTCTCGAGCACCGCGCCGCCTCTATCCGCCTTATCTCGCCCCCTACCTCTTCCCCAAAAGCCACTCGATTCGAAGTCCGCGTACCGGGTGCAGATACGAACCCTCACTTTGTACTCGCCGCTATTTTGGCACTTGGCTGGCGGGGTATTGAGAAGAAGATGGAAATCAGCATACCGCCCCTCGGAAAGGGCGAGGACGTCGGCAGTGAGTCCGACAAAGGTGAGAGACTAGCCAAGAGCCTGAAGGAGGCAACAGAGCGCTTCATGCGTAAGGAAAGTGTTGCGAGGGAAGTGTTTGGGGATCAGTTTGTCGAACACTTTGGCGGCACAAGACAGCACGAGATTAGGCTGTGGGACGAAGCAGTGACCGACTGGGAAGTCCGAAGATATATCGAAACAGTTTGAGAGGCAAGGAGAGAAAATAGATGTCCCAGGCGAAGCTTAATTTCTTCGCTATTTTACTGTGTACTTGTGATAATATGATTCCATTGATTGTCTTGATATGTAAGTGTGTTTTGGAACTTGAACCAAGGCTGTAGGGTACGATTAGCCCTTGGTAGGTTGCTGTAGTTGATTGTCGCATGATTCCCGTACGCCTGTACCAATGGGCAGTGCATCATGTACCGTATCGAGGATCTTCGTAAAAGAGCTCATGACTGTGAGATGGTGCACATTGATCACGGCTTGCTCTATCGATTTTGAATTGGACACCCACCGTCTTGTCCAAATTATACGCTAGAAATTTGGGTCGTGATATGGCCTTGGCCAGATGATTTTGAAGTGTGTATGCAGGCGACACCATTTCTATGTATAATAATGGTGTTGTACAAGGACAACGTTGTACGGCGGTGGAAGCGACCGTTGGCCTAAGTAGTTGGTGAAAATTCAAGTCGAGTAATAGGACGATGGCCGTGTCTAGAGTAAGGCCTTTGACAGTAGGCAGTGTTAAAGCAGCGAAATCATGCTGAGGTGAAATAAATCCATCCTGGCAAAAAGCAGTCCACACTCATTCTGTCCCCATAAGCACCGGCGTATCTTCCCCAGTCACCGGCGTCTCTACCGCACTCGCTGTTTCTCTCTTCCCCTTCTTCAACTTCGGAGCCGCACCGACTGGAAACCGTTTCTCGCCGGCACACACACCGCACGTGACAACCAGCACATCAGCCCAGGGTTTCTTGCCGCCTTTACTTGCATTCTCAATCCTGTGTGTTGCAGTGCGCCCGGGAATAAGGACGCTGTTGCAGCTTTTGCATAGCGTCCGTTTTAGAGAAATGGCGAGACGTAGTTGGCCTTTTCGTGAGACTTGCTGGAGGTCGGAGCTGAGTGAGAGTGCAAGTGAGAGGCGGTTTGGCAACTCGGGGGCTGGTTGTTTGCTTTGTGGTGTATCGGTGGCCTCGGCCGTTTGTAAGGTCAGGTATGTGGCAGCTTGGTAGAGAAAAGATGAACGTGCGTGCAGATGCTTGTTCGGAACGCCTTTTGCTTTCGGGGCTTTGACTTTGCTCATGATGCTACCTTGATTGTCTGACAAGCAAAGTGCGAAGGATGTGTTGGCTGCTTGCAAACGATGCAGTGACTTGTACCTTTCTTTTACTCGTATCTCATGTGTTTGTATGCTCACATGCGTGCGCCTAATTTTTACCTCGTTGGCCAACAATGAAAGACAAGAGGTTTGCTGGGTTATGATTTCTGAGCCGTCCATTTGCGGCCTAGTGGCGCGCCCAGCCAGGTGTCCCAAGCTTTTTACCTAACATGAGCGCCCAGCGACCGCTCTTCTCCACCGTCACCACCATCCAACCTCACCGACAATCGCCCTCGACGTCGACCTCGCGTGGCTGTCAACCCTTCAAACAATTACCCGAGCTCCTTGTTCTCGTTGTTTCTTCTTATAATACTAAGCTTGCTGGCACACTACCCCACCCGGCTTTGTTCATCATCAGCCTTGCTTTGCGACACGCGCAAACCATCAACCCTACCCTACACCCAACCTTCAGTTACCAATACATAATCCATCATGTCTCACGAGGAGGACCTCATTGACTACTCCGACGAGGAGATTCAGCCCACCGAGGCGCCCGCTAACGGCGATGCGGCTGCGGCTAAGGGTGGTCTCGCCGCTGGTGATGCTGCTGGCGACAAGAAGGGCAGCTATGTCGGCATCCATTCTACCGGTTTCCGCGACTTTTTGCTTAAGGACGAGCTCGTACGAGCAATTACCGACTGTGGCTTCGAACATCCTTCCGAGGGTTAGTCTAATCATTTCCCCTCAGCCTTATCCACCTACAAGCGTCTGTCCATCTACGAAACGAGCCATGTCTGTCAAAAAAATGAAAGCGGCCATGGTCTGTCTATACGCGAGAGAAGTGGCGAGGGACCCAGCGCCTTCCGCTACGTACGAGCCTCGACGTACATTATACATGTGTTTGCACCGGTACATGCATCAAGAAGCCTAGCGGTGCCTGGATGGCCCGCTTCAATGGTCCTCAGGGACTGGTTTCAGTGGAGGAGCGCATGTGGTGGATGCATAAGAGGGGGCACTCATGGGATATTGGGAGGATAGACAGACTGGCACGCGCGCACTAGATGGAGGATCTCGACTACACAAGATGGATGGACGCTTCGATCCCTACGCTTCGTTTCGACCGCTTTAGACTTATTCTGACATACTTTGTGCCCTACAGTCCAGCAAGTTACCATTCCCCAGGCCATCCTCGGAAACGATGTCCTTTGTCAGGCCAAGTCTGGTCTCGGAAAGACTGCCGTCTTCGTTCTCGCAACCCTCCAGCAGATGGACGAGAAGCCCGAGCCTGGTGTTGCCACCATTCTAGTCATGTGCCACACTCGTGAGCTGGCCTACCAGATCCGCAACGAGTACAATCGTTTCGCCAAGTTCTTGCCCGACGTCAAGGTCGGTGTCTTCTATGGAGGAACCCCTGTACAGAAGGACATTGAGCTCCTTAGCAACAAGGACACCCACCCCCACATCATTGTCGGAACGCCCGGTCGCATCAACGCCCTTGTTCGCGACAAGCACCTCCGTCTTGCCAACCTGAAGCACTTTGTTCTCGATGAGTGCGACAAGATGCTTGATCAGCCTGGTGAGTAACCCTCTCCTTATCTGCACTATGCCTGCTAATTTCCTCTAGATATGCGCAACGATGTCCAGTCCATTTTCCGTGCCACTCCCCAGCACAAGCAGGTCATGATGTTTTCAGCCACGCTGAACAAGGACGTGCGTGTTGTTTGCAAGAAGTTCATGCAGAACCCGCTTGAGATCTACGTCGATGACGAGAAGAAGTTGACGCTACACGGTCTTCAGCAATACTACGTGAAGCTTGACGAGAAGGAAAAGAACCGCAAGCTGAATGACCTTCTTGACAACCTGGAGTTCAACCAGGTTATTATCTTTGTTCGTTCCACTCTGCGCTGCTCTGAGCTTGACAAGCTTCTCCGCGAGTGCAACTTCCCCAGCACTGCTGTGCACTCTGGAATCAGCCAAGAAGAGCGGTGAGTTTGAATTATTTGAGAAAGACTTTACCCAGTACTGATGATATTATAGTATCAAGCGCTACAAGGAGTTCAAGGAGTTCCAGACACGTATCTGTGTGTCGACGGATATCTTCGGACGTGGTATCGATGTTGAGCGCATCAATGTAGCGATCAACTACGACATGCCCGACAAGGCCGATGCGTACCTGCACCGTGTCGGTCGTGCGGGACGTTTCGGAACCAAGGGTCTGAGTATCTCATTTGTGAGCAGCCCCGAGGACGAGGCAGTTCTCAAGTCGATTGAGGAGCGATTCCAGGTCGAGCTCCCCGAGTTCCCCGAGGATGGTGTCAACTCTGCCACTTACATGGACAACTAAGCTATTTGTCTTTCTTCTCTTCTGTTCACTCTGGTCAAGCGATGAAAAGTTTGCAAGAAAGAAAAAAACAATGTATGTTTGATTGTCTAGTCCCTTGGGAAAAAAACGAGCCGTTATGTCCGGGATGAGCCTTGAGAGGAAAGCAGGACGAGCTTTTTGGAGCGAAAAGGAGAACAACGTGGCGAGCGTGTATGTTTGCTTGACATGTGTTTGAATATTTTGTTAGTGGCTGAGTGGAGGATGATCGTGGCCCTTTGTGGCATTGAGCCAGAGAAGTGAGAGAGATAGGAAAGGGGAAATTGACATGCATGAGCTCTTCCTGATGTGGAATGATAGTATGCGGGTGATTGTCTGTGATTGTCTGTGTGATTGACGTGATGTGCTGTAGGTGAGTTGATTGGGCAAGAGCAGGATGTTTCTATTTGTAAGAGTTGTATTGTGCTGCTCCTTCTCGCTCATTTACCCTTTAGGAGAGTACGATTATGTGGCTGTAGAGCGAGGTAACGTCATCTCGCCAGCAGCAGCAGCAGCATACTACAAGGGGGTGGCAATGAGACGTTTTTATCCAGAGTAAGTAACGAAGACAGCAACCTATCATTCCATGAAACCTGCTACCATACCTCCATGTATATACGCATAACACATATAATAGCAACACGAGCACAAGTTATCTGCAGCCTATCAACTCCCTCATTCTACCAAAAAAGCGATAATAGCCACACAATCACGAATGCCCACCGCCTCCCCCCCCCTAATCAATCCCGCCGCCACCGCCCCAAAGTGCGCACGTCATAAAAACTCTATGTATTGGCAGTTACACAGACACGTACTTAGTCATACCTACACAAGTTACTCAGTCATGAAGCGAGAAAAAAAACGTCAGCGGCGGAACTAGGAAAGGGAAACCTCATGTAAATCATTTTTTTTACCTACTTTAGTTAACAATGCATAACTAGGCGTTTAGTTTTTATCTTTCTCATCCTCTGCGGCTTCATATGTAGGTTTAATTTGGCTCGAAACATGCAAACTCAAATCGATAATTGCACCAGTTTTTTTTTTCAACGCGATTATAAGTGAATGGTGAAGGTGACGCTAAAGAGGGGAAATTACGGGAGATTGTCATGGACAGATGAGAGAGATACAAAGTTTCGTTAGGGGGAAGAAGGGGGGGGGGGAGACAAGGGGTGAGAAGTCAGCATACTTAGGGCGAAAGTAAGCGAGATAAATAAAAAATGTCAATCTCTGTAATGTGAATGATTCCGCGGAAGGCCGTCCAGGCACCATCAATGAGGGGCAAGGCGGGAAGACGCATAGAGTTTATAGTTTATAATGATGACAGTTAAGTTGATTCCGTTCAATGGAAATTATTGGGAACTCCCGGAGAAGTTGTCATTCTTGGTTTTTGGCGCGAGCAAGCTCTCTTTTGCAAATAGGGTTTAGGGAGATGGATGGATGGGGGGAGGGGTGTGGATATGGATATGGATTTCAGGGTAAGGATTGCGAGCGGGAAGAGGGAACGGGGAGAGGGATGGGATAAGGAATCGATATATTAAGACCGGTGAGATGGGTTCGGACGTGGGAATTCGGACAAGGGACGTGAGAGGGTGTGAGAAGATTGCGGGGAAGGAGGAGTTTGTTTGGTTTCTGTTTGTCTCTGGTGTGTGCGTGTATGGGTGTATGGGTGTTTGGATCATGTGGATTACTTTTTGTGAAAGGGATTCCTCTCACACGTCAATATGGCGTGTTGTAAAACGGCCGACTGAACGGACTACTACTCGGGGGAATATGTACATGGGTGTTGGGAGGGGCCCAAATCTCCACTTTGGAATTAGGTCGACTTTGCTGCCTATATCGAAATGAAGTTTTTTTTCTTCTTCCCTTACTATTCGCGAAAAAAAAAGAGACGGCGCACTGATGTGTGCAGGATCTACGACGGACGGTGGAATAATACCCACTTGCTGTACCGACACCGAGGCATGCGCGCACATTTTGGGATGGCCCTTGTCCGGCAGCCACGTTCAGCATTGCCGGGCGGTTGCTGGTGCCGCCGCCGCCACCTGTCAGGAACAAGACAAGAGCGAAAAGTTGGCTCGCTTGGTGGTGGGGGTGGCCGCCGCCTCCGCCGAGCAAAAGTAGGCAGGGGCACCGGAAACGGGCTAGGCAAAGGAATACAGGCTGCACACGCACAAGAAGAGCGACAAGCATGGGTAAGCAAAACAGCTATCGGAAAGGGCGAGGCCAGGGGGTCGTGGAATCAAGGAAAATGGCAGTTTGTAATGTTTCAATTATGCAGTGGATAGAATAAAAGGTGAGGATGAGAGCTTGGCAAGCCGACGTGGCACTCATGCGCCACCGCTCGACTTTTTAGACGTGATTCAAAAGAGGATGTGCAGTGATGGGCAACGTGCAGGTTTCTATTCCGAGATTGCAGTGCTCATTTCCTTTGCCATGGTGGGCGATGGCGTTCACGCGTTAGCGCGCAAGTAGGTAATTGCAGTGGGGGCCTTGCAGAGGTGATATCAGCCTCGCTCCCTGTGCAATAAGGGAGGGTGCTATAGCAGCAGCAGCGTCGGCGGTGGGCAAACAGCCGTTCGATGGACGACATATGGTCTCGCAGATGCAAGTACACTAGTGTATCGGACGAGTCGCGCTGGGGCGAAACGCGTGCTGCTAGGCCGGGTGGTATAACTTGTTTCCTCTGCACTTCTGGCTCGTCTCGGCTACAGAGTGGATACGAATACGAGGGCCGGCACCCCCCGCAGGTTGTAATAAGTAATCGACGCGCGGATAGCCGTTGTTCAAGGATCAGAGCACGCAATGTTGTTGTTGTTGTTTTGTTGGTGTCGCAGCCTTGCAGCCTTGCAGCCTGGTAGGTAGTGTATACTTACTCTAGATACTAGTCCTACCGGATCGAGCAGTGGGGTGACCAGACTCGGAGTATATGTGAGAGCGGTCTAGAGGGAAAGAGCAAAGGCCTCTCCTTCCCACCTAACCACCTCCACCCCTCCCTCTCCCCAAGCGAGATCTCGATGACAGCAGTGGAGTGGACCTTGGTACAAGGCCTGGAGTAGATGGGCGTGCAAGAGCGAAGATTACGCTTGTAGGCAACATTGCGCACACAGACGCACACAGGCGAGGCAGAGGGTCGGAGGCACATGCAGCAGAGCAGAGTAGAACAGTGGATGGTTGAGGGGAGGGTTGCGACAGGCTTGGCAACATGTGCTATGGCAAAAAGGCACATGCTGTGGGCACGGCAGGCCGATCGCTGCAGCTTATCAGCGGCGGGAGTCCCAAGGTCGAGTAAGTGGCAGCAGGAAAGTGTTGTCGAGTGCGTGTGTGCTGGCACCAGGGGCCCCGACCGCCGCGATTGTGGTTCTGGTATGATTTTGCAGATGCAGCTGCGGCTCGGGTGCGGGAAGCTATCGGAGCCGTGCGTCGTCGTGTTGTGAGTGTGTACTTGTGCCTGTGCCAGAGTCGGTATCGGTGTCGGTGTCGGTGTCGGTGTCCATGGTGTAGTGTACGACTGACTACCATGATAAGTTGCAGCGGCGGTGCGGCCGTTATGAAGGTCCGCAGTGTCCGCAGTGGGTAAGCAAGTGCAAGCAAGGAGCAAGGACAGGAACAGGGCGGGCAGGACAAGAACCAATATCCAGGGCCCTTCGGTGGGCGCAGCTCCTCCTGGCTCCAGGCTCCTAGTTGCTGGCCAGGCAGGGCGCCCCCTTTTCGGGGGGGAAGAGCGAGAGCGAATGCTACGACTATGACTACTGGCAACCGTTGGGAGACGACGGGCCTTGACAGCGGTTGCACGGCGCCAGTTGGCCGGAGGCAAAATGGGCGTTGGGACGGGACGTCTTGGCCCACGCAGCTCGAACGTCGACGTCAGACGCACGGAGCTCTTGGACGCCGGCCAGCTTGGCTGCGGCTAGGCGCTGACGCCGGGGACATGAATGTACCCAAGTATCTACAGGAGTACCGTATGTATTGATTGATGTATGTACGAGCATATACGTAAGGAGAGCAGACGGAGTACTACGACTACACTGACTACTCGTGTCAGGCTGCTCCACTTCCACCGACATATATATATATATATATATATATACCGATGGATGTACATCCTCGCCCATCCAGGCAGTAGTCGTTGGGTACGACGCCCGACGTGCAGGTCCGGTAATGGCGCCTCAGATCTCCCTGTGGTGTGGTGTGGTGTGTGGGCGGCCCACACAGGGAGAAGCGGATCTCCATGCTCATGGTTAGTGGTGGTCGGGGTGCCGCGCAAGCATGCTGGCAGTCCACAGTTCGGCGCCGATCCCACTACAGCCTGGCTATTGTTGGCTTGTTGGCCTTGCTTGTTGGCCCTGTTGATGCTGCGTTGCTGCGTTGCTGCTACTGCTCCTCATCCTTCCACTATGCATGTCCTCTGCCTCCGTCCTTCCGTCCCTTTCGCCCTCCCTCCCTCCATATGCATGTCTGTCTCCCACTCACCCACATTCATCGTACACTCGCATTTGACCAAGCACTCCCCGTCTGCGCATCCTCGCTGCTGTTACCGCCGCCGTCGCAAGACACGGCGCCACGGCAGCGCATGTGCCCTTTTTTTGATCAAGCAAAAACAATGACGATACACAGCACGGCCCCGCCCATAATAAATAAGCCATGCGCCTGGCGGCCACTGCGATAAGTGCCAGGCCTGTCGCCCAAAGCATCCTAGCGGCTCCCAGTAGAGCCTGTGTGCGGGATATCAAGCAATGCTCGCGGGCCTGGCAGTGCATCAGCCCTTGCTGACCTCTAGCCTCTCAGTGCGCTTCTTCGTCCGCCCACTGCTCCGCTGCTGCCCATCATACAAACCTCTTCCCTTGCTCGACTCCCTCTGCTTTGCATTTCTTGTTGTTCGCTCCCGCTCGCTTTTGCCAGAGAGCCTGTTGCGCGCTCATTGCGTGAAGCCTCGCCTCCCCCTCTTCACGCCTTCGCCATTGCAGTAGCGGCAGCTTCCCACTCCTCCGCCCCGACCACACCGTCACGACCCACCACTTACCCTCTCGTCCTGCCTCAGCCTGCGCCTTTGCTTGCTTGCTCGCTCGCTCTCTCTCTCCCCCATTCATCCCTCCCTCTCTTATGAACCACCCCGAATCTCTTCCGTGATTCGTCTCTCGCCGACCTCTGCACGCTCGTTTCCCTTACTATCTTAATCGATAATTCCCTCCGCTGCCGCCGCCTGGGTCATTGCACCGCCATCGCGATCCACCCAAGCCCGGCCCTAATCGCCAACTTTTTGGTTCCCTCCTCACCCTCTGCAGCCCGAGCTGTTCTCCTCTCTCACTCTCAGTCCACCACCCATATCCACGCCGATATGGCTCCAGCTGTTCCGCGATTACGCATTCTCTCAGGTGCGTCATCAGTCCACGGCCGTCGTGCCATTGCCGGCCCTTCCATATATCCCTTGCACACACACGCACACACATATCTACATACACCACAAACACGCACACACATCCTCTGCCTGTGCTGTTCAAGTTTCAAGACTTCTTCCTATCTCGCCTGCAACCCCTTCAATTCTACACACTGATTCAATCGACAACTGCTGACATTCCATAGTGGGCGGCAACGCCGTATCAGCCTTCTTATCATGGCGGCTGCAAGCCACCAACGCCTGCGACGTTACCCTTGTCTGGAAGTCGGGATACGACAGCGTCGCTCAATATGGCATCTCATTCAAGTGCGTATTCTCCATCTGCGAGCTGCCCCCTCTCTCCCCTGACTCGGTCGCTAACACGTCATAGATCAGCACTTTACGGTAATGAGCGGTTCAAGCCATATGCTGGTATGTCCCTTAGACGGTCTCCCAAAACTCTAGAACGCAGCTAACGCCATCCATTAGTCGTTCGCACTCCGGAAGATGCCGCCCATTCTTCCAAGCAGCCTTTCGACTACGTGCTTCTCTGCGTCAAGGCCCTCCCCGATGTATACGATATTGCCAACATTATCGAATCCGTCGTCTCCCCTCAACACACGTGCATCCTTATGAACACAACACATAGTCTCGGTGTCGAATCATATCTTGAGCAACGCTTTCCCACAAATGTCGTGCTTTCATTGGTATCAGGAGCAGAGATTTCGCAGCTTGGAGCTAGCGAGTTCGAGCACAAGGGTGCAACAAACATCTGGGTTGGTCCCGCCAACAAGAACGCAAACATTCCCCCGCAGATTCAGTCGGACATGGCCGAGGCTCTTGCCATGACTTTGAGCTCTGGACAGGTTGACTGCAAGGTCTCCCAAAACATCCGACAACAACAGTACGAGCGAATGATAGGGTGAGTTTCGCATTCCTCATGTTACACACTCATACACCCACTAACGCTGTGCAGCCCAATCGCATTCCATCCCGCCAGTGTCTTGTTCGAAACACCCAATCACGCCGAATTATTAGAAAAGGTTGGCGTGCGCCCTTTGGTCAATGGCGTGCTGGACGAGATTCTCGCACTGGCAAAAGCCTCTGGCTGCTCTTTTCCGGCCGATTTCCGCGAAAAGACGTACCAAGACATGATTCGCCCCCAAGAGCACAACAGTACCATGTGGCTCGATTTCGAGGCCAAGCGGCCCATGGAGATTGAGACATATCTTGGTGCCCCCTTGAAGCTTGCACAAGAAGCCGGCGTTGCTGTCCCGCGAATCGAAACATTGTATGCGACGCTCCATCATATTAACATTGTGAACCGAAACCGCCCGGCAGCACCCGCTGTTGCACCCATACAGCCATCCCAAAACGGCATGCAGCCACCACCAAGAATGTCTTCAGCTCCCATGCCGCGAGGACCCCCTTCACAAGGTGCCATGATGAACGGAAACGGTCCAATCAAGGGCGGCCCTCGTCCAGGCAGTCGTGCTCCTTCTGTCAACGGCGGTCCCCCCATGGCGCGTCGTGGACCCCCTCCCGGCCCCAATGGCTACCCTCCAAGGATGAATGGCCCCCCAAACGGGCAGCGACGTCCTTCAATTGAAGGAGGGGGAGACCTCGAAGAGTTTTCACACCTTATGCTCTATGATGACATGGTGCCAGATGGCCCCAACGGCGGTCCTTATGAGAGCGCAGGCAACGCTTCCAACATGTCACTTCGAGAACGAGAACTGATGCTGAGACAGCGGGAACTGCAGATTAGAGAGCAGGAGATGAACATGCGACGTGGACCTGGCGGACCTGGAGGCCCTATGGGTCGCGGTGGCCCCATGGGACCAATGGGTCCCGGTATGGGTCCCGGTCCTGGTATGGGTCGAGGAAGGCCTCCAGCGCCTCCCTCCATGGCCGGTTTTGACGATGACGACGACGATGGTGACGACTTCTTCGACCCCATGGGAGGCCGACCAATGATTGACCCGGACAATTTTGATATGATGAGCGTCACGTCACGCCGCAACCGCTCAGCGCCCAGTGCCAAGCAGATTCGCCAGAACCCCGAGGGTACAGGCTTCGGACCTTTACCCAACAGAGGGCCGAGAAATCCCTTTTCGCGTTCCGGTGCAAACAAGAATCGGAGTAGTGCTCGCCTGATGGCGGACGTTCCGGGCCTTCATGACTCGATCATGAACAACCCGCTCATGGGCTACTCGTCTGACCGTTACGGCCATGTCGATCGTGGTGCTATGGGTGCACAATCGAGAACTAACTCGCTCACATCAGCCCGTCTTGACGATATTTCAGGCGGCGCCGGTTATGGTGCCTATCCTAACCCAAACGGTCGACGAATGAGCCAGTCACCAGGTAACCCTCTCAGCCCCGGCCCCAGGCCTGGGGGCCGACCCTCACCACCCAACGGGTATGCGCACAACGGCATGCCACCAAACGGAAGACCCTCGCCTCCCGGTATGGCACAACCAGGGGTGCCACAACATGTTGAACAGCACGCTGGGGTGAGCAATCTGTACCCGCCCAAGTCTCGTCCCCAAGTTCGCAGTCTGACTGGAAGCGCTTCCAACAGTAGCGCGGCTCTAGATTCTGAAAACTCTGCGCATAGCAGCCAAAGTAGCCTAGGCCCGCGTCCCCCGGTGGGCGTTCGGTAATGGGGAATCATGTCCGACTTTGATTTGGTAGCCATTGGTTTTGAGCATGTTGGCATTTTGCATGGGCATTGTTTTCCAGCTCTGGCGACACTGGCGAAATCATCTACTGCTTTTCCATGGACACACATGGTTTTCCTTTCCTTTTCCGGGACCACGGCTTGCGAAACACTCGAGGCGACTCCTTTTTTTCCACTTCTCATCGATTTCTTCTACAAACACATTGGCACAGCAAAATCATTACTAAAGAACCGACCAAACACACCCAAGCAGTTCCGACTGGGGTCGGGACAGTATTACGAAGCGCCTAGGCTTTGCCAGAAGGCGGATATTTAATGACGAATAGAAATGGGTGGGAAAGGGGCACACATTTGACGTAAACGGACTGGCCATGCGATTACCAGGCCTGTAGTCATCGGGATTTCTCTTTTGTCACTATGGTACATACTTGTAGAGTGTTGTTTGCAGCGTCCGCACCAGCCTCTCCTTGTCGTTTTGGCCTTCTCTCTACGGGTCGCCTATTGAGGCAGCCCACTAATCGTGTTTTTCCTTGATTGCATTGGTTTTTATTGTCAGTGGAGGGTTGGTGTCTACTCGTGCCACCTGTTTGCTATACTTCGGAGTTTTCGATATACATCACATGGATTTAGCTGCTTGTAATTTTGTGGCATTCACTTCTACTTTTGTTGCCAGGAGGGCTCAAGCTGTTACAAGCCGGGGGTGTATAAGTACTGCCTTTGGGCGAGTATGGTATGTCTTTCTTTCTTGAGTCTTTCTTTGTTTCTTATCTCTTAGTGGGATTTGGGGGAGCATCATGGTAGCTCAGCACACACTCACACACAAAAGCAAACGAAGCGTTTCCTTGTCTGACATGTGACAGCCGGTGCATAAGTAGCAATGTGAATGTGCTGGCAAGCCAACAAGTACAATGTTTAGTGATGTTCTAGTCGAGTGCTATAGAACGGGTCCAGTGCTTTGTCAGATGGAATGCCCAGAGAATGGGGTCATGAGGCAGAGGAGAGGTGACAGTAGCGCCGAGGGACATGCGCAGGCTTCACGATGCGATGCCACCGGCTGCATGTTCCGGGGTGGCAGTGGTTAGCGTAGCGTGCCATGTCGCGACGCAAAGGCACGGATGCTCTGGTACCGACGTCCCGTCTTCTGGCCAATGGCACGAAACTGAAGGCATCCTGTCTCGTGTCTCACCGCATTGGCATGCAGGCTTATGGTGTTGACGCATGTCCATTCAACGCCCAAGCCCCCCAGTCCGCCTGCCCCTCGTCGTTCGTCATAGTTGGTAAAGGCGGGGCAGCTACTACTATGAGCAGCATTGGTACCACCAACGCCCACCGCCGCAGCAGCAGCTGGAACGGCTCGCTGTCCAGCCCAAGTAAAGCCACGCGCCCGTCGCAGAGCCCAAGGCATACCCAGTATTTCGCCCGGTCAGAAAACACTTCCAGGCGGCCTCTTGTGACCCACACAGTAGCCACTGTACTTGTTCTCCTGCTAGCGCTTGCTACCGGTTTCTTCGCACCCCACCTTCCACACGCCATCGTCCGCATCCTTGACAGAGAGCAAGCTCCTTCCATAACCCTCCGAAACCCCTTCGTCCTACAAGAACCCCCAGTCTGCCCCAAACCAGAGCAACACGTCGAGTTCGTCGGTACCTTCAACAGAAACCACAAGCGCAGCATGGCTCTCGCCGACCAGGCCAAGCAGGTCGCCGCCGAATTTGACTTTAGCGACGATGCCGTCAACAAGGCCGTCAAGGAATTCATAAGGGAGATGGGTATGCATGCGCCCATCTTGTGTTACTCTATCCACCCGCTGACAGGCGCGCAGACGAGGGCCTAGAGAGGAAGGGCACCGAAATGAGCCAGATCCCCTCCTACGTGACTGCCGTTCCCAATGGCACGGAAAAGGTACACTTCCAATGAATCCGCACGTGAGCGAACCTATCTCTAAACCAAACAGGGTCTCTACATGGCTGTTGACTTGGGCGGCACCAACTTCCGTGTCTGCTCCATCAAGCTACATGGTAACACCACCTTCTCCATTACCCAGAGCAAAGTCGCCATTCCTCGCGACCTCATGGTTGCCAAGACGTCCAAGGAGCTCTTTTCCTTCCTTGCAAAGCAGATTGAAGCTTTCCTGAAAGCCCACCACGAAGAACACTATGCCGGGACTCTCCGACGCAGGGAAGGAAAGGCAGGCCAGCCAGAAGAGGAGGAAATCTTCAACCTAGGCTTCACCTTTTCCTTCCCAGTCCAGCAAATAGGCATCAACAAGGGCCTGTTGATGCGCTGGACAAAGGGCTTCGACATTGAAGATGCTATTGGTAAGGACGTCTGTGCCCTGCTCCAGGCGGAGATTGATGCGCTACACCTCCCCGTCAAAGTGGCTGCCTTAGTCAACGACACCGTTGGAACTCTCATGGCACGCTCATATACTTCTCCCGGAAAGACTGGAACCTTACTCGGAGCCATCTTCGGAACAGGTACCAACGGAGCGTATGTAGAAAAGCTGGCCAAGGTCTCAAAGCTCACCCAGGATAAAGAAGTGGGTGAATATGACAAATCCACAGGTGAGATGGTTGTCAATACTGAGTGGGGTTCGTTTGATAACTCGCTGCGCACCCTGCCCAACAGCCCGTACGATATCGAGCTTGACAAGAACTCGGTGAATCCCGGTATCCAGATGTTTGAGAAGCGCGTATCAGGCATGTTCCTGGGTGAGCTTCTGCGTCTTGCTCTGCTCAAGCTCATCAAGGACCCCAAGGTCCCGCTCTTCACTGACGACAACTCATCATCCAACGATGTGCACAGCACTACACAAATTCATGATGGCAGCCCAATATGGAAACAGTGGGGCATTGACACGAGCTTCCTCAGTGTATGCGCTGGTGACCACAGCCCTGGTCTGCGCATGCTGAGACAAACTCTTGACAAGGAGTATGATATTTCCGCTGTCAGCGCCGAAGACGCAGAGGCCGTCCGCGAAATCGCCGGAGCGATTGGCCGCCGTGCAGCTCGTCTCGCTGCGGTTGCCATTGCCGGTGTAGTAATCAACACTGGCCGTCTGAACCAGTCTGCGGCGACTGCCACCACTGAGCAGAAGGCAGGTGTTGAGCCCCCACGCGGCGACGTCGACAGTGAGCAGGGCGAAGAAATCGACATTGGTGTCGACGGCTCGCTAGTCGAGTTTTACCCCAACTTTGAGGAGTACATTCGCGAGGCCCTGCGTGCTGTTCCCGAGATTGGCGTCAAAGGAGAGAAGAGGATCCGGATCGGTATCGCAAAGGACGGTTCCGGCGTCGGGGCCGCATTGATTGCTCTTGTTGCCGGAAAAGTTGCCTCGCCACAATAAAGTAATATGTTGCTTGAAGGCTGGAGGCTCTATCCCGCATGAGCATGTATGGTTCGTTTTTTTTTTCAACACCAACAACATGAATGGGCATATACGACCTCAGTTCACATGTACATAGAACGCACGTACTCGACATGCGTACATTCTTATCTCCAAGCAAAGAAAACAAGTTAGAGAAAAAAAAAAAACACGATTGATACTTTTGTTTCGAGATAGAAAAGACGGGAACCGGGATTTTGTTTTGCTCTCACACGCACAGAGTCCGAGACTCCGTTACCCTCAACTAAGTCAGCCAGCCAGCCTTATCTACACCCAACAATATCCTGAAAAGGAAAGAGGGCATACCAAACCCGCAGACCCTTACGCTTCTTCTTTACCGTTCGTTTTTTCTCCCCTATTTCCGCTTCTTCGAGCACTTACGCACCGCACTGTCCATCCATCCCCGAGGAAACAACCTAAAAAGCACAGTGAAAAGCACGTGCACATGTCTTTAGAGTAAAGAAACAAGAAAAACACAGCACTGACCCCCGCCCCTTCTCTTCTCATCCCTTCCCTTTCGCGAAAAAAAAAGTTTGAGTCTGAGCTTGAATTTAGGGCTTTGGCGACGTTAACGCGGGAACGGGGTCAGGGACTTTTGGTTGCCCCTCCTTGTGTTATTCTTGTCTTGGTGGATTTGTTGTGCACGGACTGTTTGCTTGTGAGATTTAGTGTTTGCTGATATCGGCGGTAGTAATGGCTATGTATCTACTAAGATGTTTAGAAAGGACAACAAGGTTTTAATTTGCGTCCTTTTTAGGAGAGAGAGAAGGTGGTAAAGTTGGTGACAGCGGGGAAAGAATACGGGGTTTCGTGATGGTTGGGTTGGTGCATCGTAGGACTAGAGAGAGATAGCCGTGTCAAGTAAGAGGTTAATTCTAGTACTTATAGTATCTTCTATCAGGCCTTGAAAGAGGAAATGAAGAAAAAAAAATAGAGGGATACAAGAAATAGGTCGATGCGCTTTCTTTGCTCCAAGGACACAAAAAAAAGAGCCAACGCAGCATGATGCTGAGAGCAAAAAAGATAATTGTTGCTCGCCCGACCAGGGACTCGAACCCTGAGCCTTGAGATTAAAAGTCTCACGCGCTAACCAATCTAATCGAAGCTGTTAGACCGAGAATCCTCAAATTGAGAGGTGGTAGTATCTTACTGTGCCAGCCGGGCTATTATGCTCGATGGGGAAATGCAGATTTACGTTGATTATTTAGTTGATGAACGACAAAACACAAAGGATCAGGCGAGTGAGTAGCGTCAGTGTAGCGTTTTGCTGAGAGGGAATGCGATAAGTGATCTAGTGAGCTGCATAGGTAATAGAAAATGACTCATTGGGCGCGATGTTTAGGTGGGGAGGGTTCATGTCGTCATCGGTTTTTGCGGGATGTGGGGCAGCGGCTCGGAACATACGATCACCATTACCATAGCAGTCACATTCTTTGTTTTGAAATTCTGCTATCCACTGTGGAGTCTTTTTCAGATGTGTGTATATGTTTGTTCATTTTAACGTCTATGCCAGCGTCGAAATCGACTGACATTGGGCAATCTCACTATTTTCAAGACTAAAGTACAATGCTTCCTGATACCAAGACAACACAGTATTACCAAACCATACGTCGTCGAGCAACACAGTCATGCTTGCTCAGAGACGCGTATACCGTGTTATCTTCCTAACCTGATTTCTGACTTTATCAATGATGTTAGCAATCAAGGTACTTAACGAATTTGTGCGTGCGTCCCACCACTCGTCATCGTCCATCTCGCGCCATGTCTTGAGTTTGTGCTCCAGCACGAAGTCTTTGAAGTGTAGGGTTCGGCAGGGTATGTCGGGGCTATGGTGTATAGGCAGGGGCGGGTGCAAGACGCCGCTGTCAAGATTTGAAGCTCTTTTGTTCACTGTTCGTGTTGGATTCTTGGCTGCATGAAGAAGTGACTTTCGCTTGGTACGGTGCGAGGTTGCATCTCGGTTCGGCTTGAGGTAGAGCTGTTTGGGTACGATGGGTGCGGATTTATGGGCTTCGCGGTTGTTGGTGGACTCCGGCACGGTGAGGTTTTGTTCCATGAAGCGTACTGTATTTGTGCCATCGATGAAGCGGGTTGGTCTGGGGCTAGCCAGGTGAGTCTGCTTTCGGAAGAACATAGAATCCCTATTCGGAATCATTGGCGAGAAAGGATTGGTGTCTGAGCAAGGAATCAGGTGGACGGAGCTTTTGATGTGATTGTAAAGGCAGGCGACTCTCTGAACCCAGGATATCCTTTATATTTTGAGGGTGTCTGACTCTTTCAGGAGCGGCTTTCTTGGGAATTGACACAGCGTACGACATTATACTCTCTTTCATCCCACAGAAATATCTTGTGCAAGGTAAGAGCGTCTTTTGAGGATAATTTCAATTATACCTTTTTCATGCCATCTTTACGCCTGTAAGACATATCTTTGAAAGCAAACTCAAGTTTAGATAAGAAAAAGACACTGATTCAGAAGTGGGCATCAAAATTGCTACTTCCACACATTCTGGCACTTTCTCAGTATCTCAGCACCTCTAAATGTTTGCCTCAGTACCACAAAACATCCAATACCTCTTAAGGTTCGTTGGTAATGCTGTAAGACTGCTGCCCACTGCCATTCGTGGACAACGAAGCAGTAAACGATAGTTACTCAAACGCTCAGAAATCTGCAGTCGTTCTGTGAGTTCTGTAGCTAACAAACTCTTGAATACATTTTCTTATTCTGATGTATGAGTTGCAGCCCTCGTGATACCAGATTGAGCATTTGTCTCCTATTATGCTTACAGCTATAATAAGCAGTAATTTTGTTTCAGTTCGGGAGAAGTATAACGAAACAAACGAGAGAATATAGTCTTTCAAGAAAGGATAGGAGAAATAGCCAGTGAATTGATTTGACAAATCACTAATGCCAACTAATTAATAGGATTCTAGATAAAACTATCTAGCTACCACTTGTCCACACTGAAGCTGAAAGTTACAGCAAGAGTCCAGTTGGTGTTTTAAATACTTATTACAGCTTCAAAAGACATAGAGACATCGCGCAATATGAATTCTAGTCAATGACTCTATTACTGCAACCCGCGCCGTATTGATGTGTGTGTTGGCATGGCCATCGGTGAAGCTGGCACTAGCCTTATGTCTAGAAAAGGTACAGTATAGATCCCCTCACACTATGATGCAACGGAGCTAGTTGGCTAGGAGTTGACTAGAGGGTCTATGGATGATTTTGTCTGGATAGATGGATTGAGCTTGGTTTGGATTTTTAGCTAGACTGAGTACTGATGGTACCGGATATAGGATTGTAGACATGCTACAATTATTAGAAAAGGTTTCTATAGATGGTACATATTGGAATATGTACTCTATATTGGCTCGTGACATCTTTCTTGGCTAGCATTCTTCGCCTCTGGACACCCTTCGTATCCACACTATCATGGCCCAGAAAGCGGGCAGGAAGGCCCGGTTTAATGGGGGTTTTGGTGATGATCAACCTACCATACGTTGATACCCATATCTGGCTCCATTGGCATACACGGAATTGCCCAATAACTGAAAATCTCCGCTCTTCAGATAGCCACTATCCTGGTGATTTTCTCATTCATCTGGTAGGAGCGAGCTCGATTCGACAGATCAAGGTGGATCAATGTAGACCATCTCGACGTTTCCGTAGCTCAGGTCGCGGCTCATCCTTCAACACCGGTCGTCTTATCTTTCTTCCCGAAAAGCTCTTCGACCAACTCCACAAATTGTGCCATCGCCTCTTTTTCCTCTTGGTTGTCCTCCCCATTCCGAATCGCCTTCAACACCGCCATGGCATCTTTGTCCCCCTTCTTAGGTGTCCATCTCTCTTCTCTATCCTCCCAGTTCCTGCCGCCTCTTCCTCTACCCCTTCCTCTACCTCTTGACCCGCGTCCTCGAGACATGTTCCTCTCGAGCATACGCCGTCGTCTTTCGTCTTCAGGGTCGGGTTGTATGGTCTTGGCGTATACGCGTTGGAAGGTGGAGAGCAATATAGGGTTTGCTTTTATAAGGGCCTGGTATTTGGGGCTGGTGGCTAGAGTAGAGAAGTCGGTGCGGCTTTTGAGGTAGCGCGGTATAGGAGCGGGCGGTGGTGGTTGTGGGATGGTTGGCTTGGCGAGTTTTGATGTTGACGAGGCGGCGTCTTCTGGGTGGGTGACTTTATGTGTTTTGAAGCATGTCAATGAGCAGCTGTATATGTTAGTTTCTCTATCCTAGGGAGAAGCTGAATATGCCGTACTATGGAAGCGCGCAAGTTGGGCATTTGTATTTCTTTGGCTCTGTCTCGCAGACGCCGCAGAGAACCGTCGCCATTGTGTCCGGGTCGTTGAGTTTTAGTGAAAAAATGCCAGGGTGTAGATGCGCAAAGAACAAAATGAGCGGTGGGTTGAAAACAGGTCGTGTTAGAGTATCAGAGACTACGCGCGCAACCAGTCCAGAACTTTTGCCCTTGTAGACATTCCCAAAGCGGTTAAATCCCGCGGCGAAGTTCCACCACTCCACCAAGGTTTCGACGACCAATTCACTGCATCTCCGCTCACACAACAATGCCCTTCACGCCAACACTACGACAGCTGCCCTCGCGGCAAATAGGCCTATGGACATGTTCAGCATGCTCCCGTCCGCTCGCCAGAATACCGCGCGCCCGCAACCCCGTCTTTGCCGTGCAAAAATGCTTAAACACTACAAGAGCTGCGCAACATGGCACCGTACCGCGAATGGACCAAATGCACGCGCAATACAAAATGAAGAACAGAACCGTCATGTGAGAGCGAAGCGGATTCAATCCGGTGGAACAATCACTCAATGTGGACAGGAACTATGTATTTAGTGTAATAGTCGGTTTCGTAGCTATAACATACGGCTCAGTACCCATGTACAAAATGGTATTACTCCCCACCCCCCCATCTTGCCAATCCTACCTCCCACTAACTCTAATACTCAAGATCTGTCAACAAACAGGCTGGGGCGGCCAGCCCATCAAGTCCGCCGCGCACGGCGGTGATTCCAGCGTCTCCCCCGCCGAGCGCCTCAAACCAGTAACCAACCACCCCCGCATCCGCATAACCTTCAACGGCTCCGTCTCCGACGTGCTCCCTTGGAAATTCGTACCTCAGCAGCGAGAAGTACGCGTTCTCCCAGGCGAAACGGCACTAGCGTTCTACACAGCGACCAATAAGTCGCCCGAGGACATCATCGGCGTGGCGACGTACTCTGTTACGCCCGGCCAGGTGGCCCCGTATTTCAGCAAGATTCAATGTTTTTGCTTTGAAGAGCAGCGGTTAAATGCGGGGGAGACGGTGGATATGCCTGTTTTCTTTTACATTGACCCGGAGTTTGTGACGGATCCGAATATGAAGGGGATTGAGACTGTGACGCTGAGTTATACGTTTTTCAAGGCAAAGTATGACAAGGATGGGCATTTGAGGCCTGTGCCTATGGCGTGAAGGAGTGATTTTATTCTATGTTTTTGCTATCTTCTTTGTTTTCTCTATGGAAATGATTTTGTAAGATATGTAGTTGTACAGTATGTGGCTTCTCTGCTATTAGAGTGGTGTACAAGTTATGGTTCCTCTACTATCAGAGTAGTTTACGAGTCATGGTTTCTCTGTTGTTAGAGTGGCGCACAAGTCACTTGGTTGTCGAACTCTCTGCTGCTGTCAGAGTAGCCTACAAGTCACTGTATATCAAACCGGAGTGATCATAGTACTCTCGCTTTCCCTTGTCGCACAAGATCTCCTTTGCTTGGTTGATCTCGGCCATTTTTCTCGTGGCCTTTGCGCGATCCTCGCTCTTACAGCGATCAGGGTGCCACTTCAGGCTCAGAGCGCGATATGCCTTCTTGATATCGTCAGTCGTAGCGTTGCGGAAAATTTCGAGTACAGTGTAAAGATCTGTGCGAGGCTGAATACCTTCAGGCGCAAGAGGAAACTCACGATACGAGGAATAGGGTTTCGACGGCGGTGAGCGAGGATACTGGTGAGAACCAGAACTTTTACGCTGTCGTCGCGGCTTGGGGGAAACACTACGTGATCGGCGTCCTTCAGTCGTGTAATGTGCTTGTCGCGACCTGTTGCTTGAAGTGTTTGTTCCTGTACGCGGTGAATGAGGTGGTGTAGGTGGGTCAGCAGAGCACTCGTAGGAATACGTATACGATGCCCCCCATGACGTCTGTATGAACTCCACAGACGCGTACTCGTACTTGTCGTTTGGTGCTCTATCCTCTGCCCAATATTTCTGATTTGTTCGTGTACGAGGCTGCTTGGGGTAGTACTCAGGACCACAGGGAGACGAGGTCGAGGTACGTGACTCTGTAGTGTATGGACGGCGGTTTTCCTTTTCTTGCGCGAAACCATGACGACTGGGATGAGAAGGCGGGACACGCACTTCTGTAGTGTATGAATGACGGTTTTCGTTTTCTTGTGTATAAGTGTAACTGGTAGAAGGAGGAGACGGGCTGCAGCTTCGGAATGGACACCTAGGTTCTGACATCCGCAGTCGGTCGGATTGGCGGCGCATATCCTCTGAGTAGAGGGTGCCACGTTTGAAGAGGAAGGGGTCGTCAAGGAAGCTTTCCATTTCTGCGTATGTTGTAACTTTTTGTTTAGTTGTTGATGCTGAATGTATTTGGATAGTAATCCCAGAATGTTATCCGCTCTTTTTATACCCCAAATAGTCGACATTGTGAACTGTAGCATTGGGTATGGACAGCGCGATGGGTGATTTGGGTGACCTTGTGTAGGTTCAGTGTAGACGTAGGCGTAGAAGCCCTAGAATATTCAACTCCTTGTCAAACAGGCCGCCTACAAGCTGATAGAGTATTCTCTATTCTATATAGCTAAAAACTTCACGTCTCTAAAGTATGGTGTATCAGGACAGTGCATCGACCTCAATTCATCACGCCTTTTCGCCTCCTGTATGATATTTGACATCTCTTCGATGGTATTTAGTAACACTTGCTCTTCTGTTAAGTTCGTAATGAATGGTTGCTGTAGTTGCTTCCGATCAGCCATTGCGCCATTGTGGCTAATGAAGGATCATTCGGAAGTTGGCAATATGACTGCGTGTAACCCTACACGTCTCGAGGAACATTGACCAGCTTACTCGGCTCCATTAGTCCGGTCGCTATTTACTCCTACGGCTTTTTGTCGACGTGCGGGACTGAACACTTCGGTAGAGAATGTATCGTGGGTTTCCCTGGTTTCCCTGGTTTCAGTTCAGCACAATTTGTTAAGCAGGCCCCACCCCAGCTAAGCTATCATTTCTAAGCCATCTCACTCATCGGACGGCAGTTCCAAAGTATCGGTTAGTAGACGGCGAGACTCTCGGCCATTGTCACCTGAGAGGCTGGGTACGCACTCCTCCATCAGAGGCTCGAGACAAAGCGGCTGGGATGTACACATGGACACTTTCGCTAAGGCAGCGCACAATTGGTTGCTCTGCTGGAGCGCTACTACAGGACTAGCAATACTCGTAGTGGGACCTTGCTGTGCTGCCAGGTGTAGGTTGGATTATTAATGAATGCGGGAAGAAGCGCGATCCCGAGACAGCGCGGGTTTAGTGCATGTGGGGCACTTTACATGCACCATAGCGATGCTTGATCACGTCTTCCTCAACACGTGCCCAGATATAAGATAAGAAGGCTTCGGAGTACGTATCCTGCAACCAATCTCACTTCTCATCCAACACAACAATTACACTCGCATTTCTCAAGCGCCTCAACACTTGAATCCTACTTCTTTCTTGTCTCTTAACCATGTCAATCAAAAACGTCATCATCATCGGGGTAGGTATCCCGTGTACATCTGGTTAGCAGACACTAACGGTATCAGGCGGGCGGAAACCTAGGACCCTCAGTTCTGAATGCCTTTTTGAAGGAGTCTTCTTTCAACACAACTGTGCTCTCACGTCAAAACTCAAATTCCAAATTCCCTCCCGATGTCAAAGTGATCCACGCAGACTATAGTTCGCAGGACAGTCTCAAGGCGGCTTTCCAAGGACAGGATGCTGTGGTATCTCTTGTCGGTGGTCTTGCGGTTGGTGACCAGCACAAGCTGATTGATGCTGCCATTGCGGCAGGTGTGAAACGTTTCATCCCCTCAGAGTACGGAAGCAATACGCCTGACAAACGAGCTCGTGACATTGTACCCGTGTTTGAGGCCAAGTTTGCCGTTGTCAACTATCTCAAGAGCAGGGAGGCGGAAATCAGTTGGACCAGTATAGCTACCGGACCATTCTTTGACTGGGGGCTCAAGGTCGGGTTCTTGGGTTTCCAGAGCCACTCCAAGACCGTTACCTTATTCGATGACGGCGAGGCTACATTCTCCACAACGAATCTTCACCAGATTGGTGTTGCAACAGTCAAGGTTCTCGAGCATGCGGATCAGACAAAGAACCAGTGGGTGTACGTCAGCGGCTTTCAGACGACACAAAAGGAAATCCTGGCAGTGGCGGAGAAGGTGACGGGTACAAAGTGGACAGTTGAGAAAGTCAATGTCAAAGACCATATTGCACAAGCGCGCGAAAAGCTCCAAAAGGGAGATTTTTCGGCCATTCCAGATCTGCTACAGAGCGTGACATTTTCAAAGGAGGAGCTGGGCAACTTCGCGCCCTTGGGTCTTTGGAATGACAAGCTCGGAGTGCCAGAGGAGAGCTTTGAGGAGAGTGTAAAGGGAGCACTTGTTTAGAGATGTGGATAGACAAGTAACGAATGCAAGAGTCATGCTCATTGTTTGCAAGGGAAGTGATGCAAGTGATGCGGCGTGCGTTGGTGACCATGGGCGAGACCAGTGTCTAACCCGATGAGGCTAGCGCTCATGGGACTTGGGGAAGATCCCGGCGCTTCTCCATCTGAAGGTTGAGCCAGCGCAGAGTAACTTCACGCGTTAAGTGGTCGCAACGGCCAATTGGAACACTCGCGAGACATAATACCTTCGCCTGTTTGATCGCAGCAATGGCTGAGCGTGCGGCTAAGCGGATGCGACGCATAAACACCGAGTATGATGAGTCCGAGGGAGATGGATGGGACGGTCGAGGAAACAGCAGGTATGTGGCTGACTGCGCGCGCGACGCATAGCTGGCTGGCACCCATCGCCAAGGGCAGCGCGGGGAGGACAACCGCCGTAGAGAGCTATCAGGGCCACACAGGGCCCTCTTTTTGTCCTTCACCTCCATCTTTGTGCCACCCGCCTGCACACATACACAAACACCCCTGCCTTGAGCCACGGGGGCACACGGAGGTCATCTTACGCCATCGCCATCCCTATCATTGACCTGCTCTCTTCTTCTTCTTCTCCTCCTCCTCTTGACGGCCTTGCTCGCACATATTGCCATACCCATGCCTCGCCTACGGTCACGCGCAGCTCCGGCTCCTCTAACATCATACAGTACCACTCCTACAGCTTCCTCGACCCGTCCGCGACGCGGCACGGCAAATCAGTCACTTGCGGCTGCTACCATACAGCGCTCCTCGCCTGAGGAGACGCGCCAGTCAATACACCTCACAGTAAAATCATCGCCCAACAAGCTCAGGCAAGCCACTGGCGGTGCTGCACCCAAAGCTGGTGTCAGCCGTGAGAACATAGTCGTGGGCAAGCGCGCGTCACGGAACAGTCGCGTGGTCCAGGAGGTCGATAGCGAAGATGAAGAGGAAGAAGAAGAGGTCGAAGAAGAGGACGAAGACGTAGAAGAGGCCGACGCCATGGACGTGGATGGGGACTCGGACGACAACGAAGATGCCCAAGGCGACGACGACGATGAGGATATGGACGCAGAGGGAGATGAGGACGATGATATGGAAGACACACCAGCGCCACGCATCGTTGTGAACACCAATCGAAGCATCCCCGTCAAGCCATCCGCCGGAGCGATCACTAAGGCCCAAGACAAGGTCGAGGCCAAAGAAATGGCAATGGACGATGACGACGACGAGGAGCTAAGTGACCCAGATTCTGATCTCGATGACGAAGATGCGGAGGGCGAAGATGAAGACGCTGAAGGCGAGGACGACGACGACATGGGCGTAACGCCTGGCGCAGACATGGACGAAGAAATGGACAGCGATGAGGAACTCAGCCGCGACCAAACACCTGATGTGACCAAGATGACCAAACGACAACGCGCTCTAGTCAACGACGACACTGACGGAGGCCTCCTGGCTCTCTCCAACGAAGCACAGAAGAAGAAACATCTTACCGCAGAAGAACACGCCATGCGCAGGGCAGAAATGGCAAGGCGAAGAAAGAATCTCAGCGAAAAGAGGAACGAGGAAGAAAAGGTATATCTCCTTTCCCATTCCCCCATTCATTCCACACGAACATTCACTAATTCTCTCATTTAGCTCGACACTATCAACCGCCTCCTCAAAAAACAACCCCCAAAACGCGGCCGCAAAGCCGCCCAAGACGCCCCGGAAGACGGCCTCGAAGAACCAGAACCCGAGCGCGCAAACCCCCTCTTCGTCCGCTACATCCAAAATGCCAAGGGCACACAGCTCGGCGTCCCGGAAGAATGGTTGCAAGCGCCCGTTGGCAGTATGTTTGCGGGTGATGTGGCGAAAGCGGCACAGAAGCCGTTTAGTGGCAAGATGGTGGAGGAGGTTGCTTAGGTTCGAGGAAGGAGACGGAAAGCAAAACATGTAATATATTCAGCGGTTTGGCATGATTTTGGGAGTATGGTCTTAAATACCAATTAGAATTACTTTTTTCTTGAACTCGTTTCCATGACATTGTTCATTATCACTTTTCTTCGACTGAATAATATTGGAACCAATTTCATACTGGCTAAATTTGTGTTTGCGGGGATAGTTACAATAGTCCTAGACACAGTAGAGCACAATAAACATGACGTCATGGTAAGAACATATCATTATATTTTTAATAGTAGTACTGACAGCCTGCGGGTATATAGTAGTGCCTGTCCATTGCAGCTCTCTAAGCCCTCTTACCAAAGACCTTGTCAAAGCCCGTCAGTGTTATCCTGTACCTGACATTGTCGTTCTTGTACACGCGCTCAACGGCCTCCTTGCAGCCCTCCTCACTAATCTGGATTTCCTGCACCCAGCTCTTGATGTTCTGCTTGGAAGCGAGCTCGAACATCTCCTCCATCTCGGGTCGGTTGCCAATGTGCGACGCGCCCATGTAGCAGCCGTTGGGGGCAAAGATCTGGGCGGGCATGGGTGGGAGCGGGTTGTCGGGGAAGCCGACCATGTGGAAGGTGCCGTTGACCTTGAGGATGGAGAAGTATTCTGCAAGGTCGAACTTGTCGGTGGCATCGGCGGTGTTGATGACGAAGTCGAAGTGGAACTTCCATGGCTCGGACCAGCCCTTGTCCTTGGTAACGATGAAGTCCTTGGCTCCCATCTTCAGAGCGTCGTCCTTCTTGTTGGGGCTATGCGAGATGACGTAGGTGTCGGCGCCCATGGCGACGGACCAGAGGACACCAAAGTGACCGAGACCTCCGCTTTGGCTGTGTTAGTGACTGATACGACAATGTCCTTGGTGTTGAGAAACTTACAGTCCAATGATGCCGACCTTCTTTCCAGGGCCCGCTCCTAGCCTCTTCAATGGCGAATATGTCGTGAGACCAGCACACAGCATAGGTGCCGCCAGGGAAGTCTCGATGTTGTCTGGGATCTTGAAGACAAAGTACTCATGACCTCTGATGTGGCTGGCGTAGCCACCCTGCGCAACAGTACCATCGGTGTGCTTAGCACCGTATGTGTCGACAGAGTTGGGGCAGTAGTTTTCCTGGTCGTTCTTGCATTGATCGCAAGTAAGGTCGGCGCCAATCTGAGCGCCAATACCGGCACGATCGCCAACCTTGACCTTGGTGACCTTTGATCCAACCTTGACGACCTTGCCAATGACCTCGTGTCCTACGCAGAGAGGAAGAGGAATCGACTCGCCCCATCCACCGCTAATGGTGTGGACATCTGAAGCGCACACACCGCAGGCATCAATGGCGATGTCGACGTCGTGCTCCTCGAACTTCTTGAGGGGCAGCTAGCAGAGGGTCAGTAAGACGATTGGTGGGAAATTCGGGCCGGAGACTGACCTCCTTGCGGGTAAAGTTGCTCCAGTTCTTGATGTCAGTGACGGCAAAAGCGTCGGTGGTCTCTGGGTAAGGCATCTTTAAGTTGGGTACACAGTATGTGAGGAGGAAAAGGGCGAAGGGGATTGTGCAATGGAAGGGTAGGTGTCGAGGGGCAGTGAGAGGTATTTGAAGCCCCGGGGGTTGAAGCACCGGGAAATCTACGGCCAGCTGTCGACGAGACCCATCGTCACTAGCCAGTGATATCATAACAGTGGATGAGTTCTAGAAGGCCCCCGCCCATGGAGACTTGTGGGGGCATGTGATTGGACCGTTACGTAGCCATGAGAGGGTTATCTGCTGTGTTGTGCATGGTACCTTTTCTTGACCGTCACCCACGCGTCAATGATCGCGCTTTTTACCGTTGCATCGTGTTTTCGCACACGCCGTTGACGACTAGATACCAAAGCTTGCTACATCCCGCGTCCAAGTAGCCCACGCTACGTGTTGGCTCGTTTCGGCTATGCCGGAGTGTGGCAGAACTTGTTGTGTCGCCTCTCAAGCTTCGAACGCGACTTGCTTGTCTAGACTTCCGCTGTCAGAAGGCCGTGTGGAGCTTGGAGAGAGAGAACGCAAAGAGTGAACAAAGAAAAAATGTTTCCGACGTCGTTCCGATCGGTCCAGTGCCCGATCACCACTCATTCCGACCGCCGACGGTTGCCGACGTCATCATCTTCTCCTCGCAACCACCATCATCACTTCATTCGTGATTGCTTTTCGCTTCGTCGCTCAGACCAGCTCGCTAGATGTGGCCCAAATCTCCTCAATTTTCTCTTGCGGATCCATCTTAGGCATTGCTGTCGATTCTGTGTCCGATGTGAACAGAGGAGTTTGTCCCTCTCAAGCAATTGGCCGTTATCAGCGGCCAAATTCTGTTTCTACCCTGGATCTAGTCTCCCAAGAGCTTCCATGACCAGAAGTGGTATCTTCCAATTCTCCAGATCTAATTAGTCTCGGGAAAACAATTCAGTTCTCAAACCTGCTCCATCTTCTTCGGTGTTTGATACCCCGCACTCAGAATGCGGGGTGATGGACACAGGGCTTGCCCAATGCGGTATGCCGTGATGTAGATAGGCACAGCAATCCGCCGTTCCAGTATTCCAACAGAGCGGATAGCCAGAAATGCCGAGAATTAAGCAATCAGGTGCGAGACTTTAAGCATGGCTTGGTTAGCTCTCAGTCTCGAGGGCCACATTGTGCTGGCGTCGCCATATATCTTCCACTCCAACTCTTCTCTTTAATCATCTCATCTAGATTTCGAATTACGAAGTCGCATAATACTTATAATAGCACCTAAAAACATGTCAGCTCCAAACCCGGCTCAGTCCACACAGGAGACCATGAACGCGCTGCGGTTCCACGGCCAAAAGGACCTAAGATTTGAGAAGATCCCAATCCCAGAAGTCAAGCCAGGTCAAGTCAAGATAAAACCAGCATGGGTCGGAATCTGTGGCAGTGGTATGTATGCGCAATTGAATTTCAGAACAAAGAGACTGACGCGCCTTTATACCTCCACGAGTATTTAGGTAAGTACGTAGAATGACGAAAATGTGGTCCTAAGCTGAGCACCTAGGTGGTCCAAACCTCTGTCCCACCACACCTCATCCAATCACCGGCGAAACAGTCCCACTTACCTTTGGCCACGAGTTTAGCGGAACAATAGAAGAGGTTGGCGAGGGCGTAGCAGACTATAAGCCTGGCGACAGGGTTGTTATTCAGCCCATTATATACGACGACACCTGTGTCGCGTGCGAAGAGGGATTGCATAACTGCTGTTGGTCCAATGGCTTCATCGGCCTATCTGGATGGGGTGGTGGGTTAGCAGATCACATAGTCGTCCCAACATCGACTCTATACCACCTTCCCGACAATGTCCCGCTCGATATTGGCGCCCTAGTCGAGCCTCTAGCTGTTGGCTGGCACGCTGTCAAAGCCAGTCCCTACAAGAAAGGCGATAGCGTGCTCGTTTTGGGAGGCGGCCCCATTGGAATCGCAACTATTCTCGCCCTCAAGGCAAACGGGTGTGGCAAGATTATTGTCTCGGAAATCAGCAAAAAGAGACAAGAGTTTGCCAGGAACTTTGGCGCACACTACATCATCAACCCCGTGAACGAAGACCTCGCAACCCGCTGTCGCGAACTTACAGGGGGGAAAGGTGTGCACGTAGTTTATGATTGTGCTGGTGTCCAATCAGCACTCAATCAGGCCGTTCATGCCACACGAGCTCGCGGCTGCATTGTCAACATCGCCATTTGGGAGAAGCCATGCACGATCCAGACCAACGACTTCAACTTCAAGGAGCGAAGCTACATGGGTATTGCAACGTACGAAGTGGGTGACTTCCAAGAAGTGATTGACGCACTTAGTCGGGGCGATATGGACCCAAAGGCCATGATTACACAGAAGATTGCTCTGACCGAGGTGGAGGAAAAGGGTTTCAAGAGTCTGATCAACGACAAGGATAACCAGGTTAAGATTCTGGTCGAAGTTGGTGGTGGCGTATGAGTGTTGTTTGAAGGACATAATGAGTTTCTAGTCGTACATTCTAATCTATCCATCTCATTCATACCATTATGCAGATTAAGCAAATCTCACATGAATAACCCTCGTACCATGCTGCCACCCTCACATCATAGACTTAGCCGCATGCCACCCCGCAGCCCAATGCCACAACCTCGCATCCACCGTCTTGCCCTCTTTGTCATACTCAATCAACCGCTCATACAAATCATCCACCGGCACAACAACCCTCTCAATAAACTCTCCATCATCTAGCGCCTGCTCTGGCTCCTCATCCCCCTCCGCCAACTCCACCTCCACAACCGCCAACTGCATATTCGCCGTGCTCATCCCCGGATCAGACACAATCGTCGGACTAATAAACTTTAATTTGCCTTGATACCCCGTCTCCTCGTATAACTCGCGCACACTGGCTTCACTCGGCGATTCCTTCTCATCCACCAGTCCCGCGGGTAGCTCGACGCACACGGCGTTGACGGGGGGCCGGTACTGCAGTATGATGATTGTAGAGGGCGGGCGAGACGGGTGCCGGATAATGGTTACGATGGCGACGGCGTCGACGCCGGACTTGCTGCGTGTCTTGCGGGCTGCGGCTTCCCAGACGCGGTCTTTGCCTGTTTGGTCCTGCCAGGAGATTTTTTGAAAGGAAATCCATTTTGCGGAGGTGGCGGGGAGATCTTCGATTTTTAGGATGCGCGGGGATTGCGGCATGTTGTAGGCGGCGTGCAGGGGTTGTGAGTGGTGAAAGGTGCGGGTGTGAGGGATGTGGTTGAGGGGGGATGGACGGAGCTTGGGTGTGGCTGCTGAGCGGGCTGTGAAGAGAGATAGAGATCTTTTATACATTGGTAACTTCTGTGGTTTCCTGGTAATGCAAGACTGGGAGCGCTGACGTACAAGACTTGGGGCTTGAACTGCCCCGCGTCGCGGTGTCGCGAAAACACGTGCTACACCCTATGACATCATAATCAGTTCGCATATTCACTGCTGTGAAGTCGACTGGCCAAATTACTGACATTATAATTGTTTGGATAGCTCAAGTAACACCCAGCGCTCAAGCGTTCGTCTTTCTAATATCCGTCAACTTGACCATCAAAGGACTCTTCTCCCACGTATTAAACGCCTTGAGCCCCTCGAACTCGCCCTTTGGATCCCAAAGCCTTCCCCCATTCTCTGCAAACTCGACATCGAAATTCCACAAAAAGGCCCCAAGAATCAGTCTCAACTCCAGATACGTCAGGTTCCTGCCAATGCATCCTCTGGGCCCCAGGGAAAAGGGTTGTGCAGCCTTCTTAATGTCACTACTGAATCGGGCTTTGGAGTCTGGCGTGTCAAGGAACCGCTCGGGAATGAAGGTGTCGGGCTCAATAAAGTTGGCTGCCGAGTGCGAGGCGCTCCATGAAGAAACGCAGACGGATGTGTATTCTGGAACAAAGTGTCCGTCGATGAGAGCGCCGCCTTTGGGCACATTGCGCAAGAGACCGACTGGGACGGGGGGAAAGATACGGAGACCTTCTTCTATACAGGCGTTCATGTACGGCAACTTGCCCAAAACGTCCATGTTGAGATCAGATTCGGTCTTGCATGCGCCTCTGATCTCATCCTTGAGCTTTTGAAATATCTCCGGGTTGCGCAGCAGGTAATTTGTTAATCCACACAGCTCTGTGGCTGTTGTCTCGCTCCCTGCGACAATGAAGAGAGCCGCGTTCATGATGACTTCGCCGTCGCTAACTTCGTTTTTCTTTTCCCGCTGCTTCAGAATGTACCAGATGAAATCGCGGTGGTCGCTCTTTGTGCTGAGCCTCTTCACTGTTTTTTCCGTAGAATTGCGCAAGTGACGGATGCGGCGCTCGCGGATCACACTGGGAATGCACCACATAAGGAATTTCTGCATCATGGACCCGGGTTTAGCAAAGCGGCGAGTAGCCTGGTCAATGGCACCCGATTTGATCGCCTCGTAAATGAGAACAACCCAGTTTGCGGACTCGGACCCTTCACCTGGAACACTCTTAGTACTGCCTTGACAACATATCCCCGAATTCGCATATGGGTCGCTCGAAAGCCATACCTTCTCGAAGACATCCAAATGGCTCGCCAAAACTCAAATCACCAATGATATCAAACGTGCAAAAATTGAACCATGACACCATATTCGCCGGTTCGCCTCGCTCGGCCAACTCCGTCAATCGCTCGACAAACATGTTTACATAACCCCTGAGGATCGGTTCTTGCTCCATTAGTGCTTGCTTGGAGAAGGCATGGGATAATGCTCTCCTCTGCCTAGCATGTTGAGAAGCTGGTGCCATGGTCAAATTCGTGGCTCCAGGAATGGCTTCTACAGCGCCGACATGGATAGCATCCTTTTCCATACTGGGAAGACCGACACGGTGGCCATATATATCGTCCCAAGATTTCGCCGTATTAAAAGACAGCTCGTTTGGCATAACACGAACGACAGGTCCATATTTGTCATGGTGACGCTTGTACTCAAAGGCAATGCGGCCGCGTAGCAGGTGTATGATGGACGGGATCGGCGAGATACGCCAGAGTAATGGCCCAGGATACTTGGCCAGAGGGTGTAGTGTGATATTGTAAATTGCGTTCAAGACGACGTATGCGAGGAACTAGAATTTATCAGGCCCGAGATTTGTCAATGAGCCAGCAAAATTGACATACAGCAACAGGTGCCCAAACCGCAACCAGGCGGAGACGTTCTTCGTCTATGATGCCCATTATGGTCTTTCGAGTAAGTAGCCGCGAAACAGAGGCGATGCTGTTTCAACGACGAAATGCAGAATGCGAACACACATTGGCGAAATGGCGAGCTTGGGCAAATATACAAACCTCAACTGGTCCTCGGAACACGACGTTCCAAGTACAAGGATATGCAGGACTACCGTTTCCCCGTCATATTGGCCAAGGCATTTTCTCGCCAAAGCATTTCCGAGTTGGGATACCTGCCAGTTTGCAGGGCGCCAAACATGGAGACCTGCCTAACTCATCGCTATTACTATCAACAGCCGACGCAATCCTCTCGGCAGCGTGAAATTGATGTCGTACGACATGAACGGACGTTTGAGTACGCGCCCACGTGTATATTGCTGGTTGATGAATAATCGCATGGGAAGTTGGAAATAGCAAGAGACAAGACTGGAAATACTTTAGCGCCATGTATGGTGGAGAAGGACGGACCCCGCATGGCGATAGCGACCCCGCGTGGAATGGCCCGCTACATGAGTAGGCCAGAGACGTAATGCGAGTCGTGTACTTTTTCCAATCAATGCACTCTGAGTCGCAACGGCATCATGAGATTGCTCGATAGGAGACTCATGACATGGTCAGCTTGTACATACATAGGATAACGGCTTGTAAATATTCCGGGGCACTCGCTGGCGTGCCGAGATATCCGGTAGCTCATGAACCTTGAGCGAGGCTGCATAATTCGAATACTACAGTGTCTGATTGAACACAGGCGGCGTTATCAGCGCATCTCCGCTCACGTGTTTGATGGCATCAGACCAAATCATGCCCATATGCGCATACCCAGCATAGGATCTGTAATCATCAGCATCGCACAGTGTACTTCCAATCCATACTTATAACTCACGGGTGCAGGCCATCAACTAGCTCGTAAACACTCACGGCACTCTGGTCCACGACTCTAATATTGAAACCTTTCTTCGCCCTCTCCTCCACGACTTCCGGCACCGCCTCGTTGAAAGCCCTGATATTGTCGCTCGTCCGCTGGTTTAGCGCCTGTATGATTTTCGCAACAAGTACCACCGCATCTGGACAAGCCTCCAAAACAGCATCTAGGAGCCTTCCCAACTGCTGCGGCGCATCCTTCCACAATGCGCTGTCGGAGCGATCCAGATCGGTCGTGCCGACATGCACCAACACGACATTCGGTTGCATCTGCAGCGCAGTCGTCATAGCGCCCATGATCTCGCTTATTGTGGAATTGACATGTCCCTCGTTGTCATTGTCAAACATGAAGCCTGAATGCTGTGTACCGACAAAGTCGACCGACTGATACCACCCGTGGATGAGGTTGTGCAAAAGCTGGGCACGATACCCATCTGTGCCGTGCTGTTGGTTGTCCGGTTGCCAGCCCCATGTTATCGAGTCGCCCAGAGGAAGTATGCGGAGGGGAATGCGAAGGTCTGCATGAGGACGTTCATGGCGTAAGCCGACGATGAGCGTGATCACTAAGGGGGTGGGTTAGCAACGATGTCAAGTAGAACACTGCACGGGAGACAGATGACATGAACAATTAGTATAGAACCATGACCTTTTCTCCTCTCCCATACACACAAGTATCTTGTATCTATTATGCGACAATGGGAACGGAGCCAGTTCATTGCGGAAAAAGGAACAGGAAACTACTTGCATAAACACAATGCGCCAACTACCGCTATGCCCTTGAGTGCCGTCCTATGCCGCGGGCCACCCAGAATCGAAATCATGGTGATGTACAATCTCAAGCACTCATCTGTCGCCGTCGAGAACGACTCCGTAGTAACGTGGCTGAGGCCACGTGTGTTGCTCCCCCGAGTTCACCAATGGGCACGTCATAGCGTCATCCAGAAACAAGGGGCTAGATTGCTATTCTAAGCCTGAGTGTAATTAGGCCAGAACTATCATTCGCCCTTGAGAATTTACAAACACAGCCTGACTGCCATTGGGTACATTGTGTAGTGCAAGATGATCCGAAAGAGTTGAAAGGCGCGTCAAAGTGGCGCGAGGGGTGTTTGTCCCTGACATTGACGTACAGGGTCTCCCCGCTAGCTACGCTAACCAAGGCACGCGGGTGAAGACGCCATTCTACCAAGAAACTCCCTCCCAAGCATTCGTCATGTTCGATGGGATATCATGGGATTACCTTTGCCTTTCTCATGCGATCGAAAGCAATTGTCCACGCCTCTTTTGTCCGTATCTCCTCTGTGTACCCAACCTTGTGCGAAGCCTCCATGCTCATCTGACGGTCGAAATCGAACATGGTCATGATGTAGTACTATCTTCTGTTAGCTGTGCCCGCCACCAACTCAAAGGCCTAAGCGCATACCTGGAACCCCGGATGCGTAATATCGCTATCAGCGCTTCCCGGCTTGAGATCATGTTTCTTCTCCAACTCCTGCCACTGCTGCTTGTGCGCATCGATATACGCGCCGGGCTGTGGTGAGCCCTCCTCCGGCCCTGTGCCTTCTAGCCCAAAATAGTCGCAAATAACTGGCCATTTCCCACTCCAGCTGTCTTCCTGACCGCCCACATTGAAGCTCTGTGATGCAGTCTTTTCCGGGTGCAGTGATGCGTGTATCGAAAAGTGCGCAACCATGTCCTGTGCAGACTCATTGTACTTATTCACCCATGACTTCTCACTCCCGGGAAACGGACACTTTGCGCCCTCGCCTTCGATGAATCGGTAAAGTGAGAGGTACAGTGCGAGTGTTTGTGCCAGACAGTAGGCATTGTTGTTTGGCACGAAGCCGATAATATTATCTGGCCGAACTTCACACCAGTTCCACTTCTTTCCTTCTGAAATACGTTTCAGGCAGTCGATTTGGTTATAGTAAAAGAGCTGAGAGAGGTATGGCTCAGGAATAGGCGGAAGTGTCTCTTTCAGCGGTAGGTCTTTTGTGAACGGGAATTTATCCAGCATTTGACAGCCGTAAATCTTGGTGCCTGTCGGAAGAACCACATACGAGAGTTTAGGCGACAAGTGATCAATGGTTGTGACTGCGCGCTCCAACATCGCTTCATTTACCTTGCATTCCGAATCAGGGTCGTCTATCTGCTTATATGCTATTTCTGGTCAGGTTCATTCGTTTCTTTAGAATCCGCTCGACTTACAGTAGAAATACACCTGAGTCACTGTCTCGACATCCTTGACCTTTTCTTTCATCTGCGCCTCCAACTCCTCCTGAGTCCCCTTGACAAGATCAACGCCAGATACAATTTGCAATCGAGGGTCTTCGGGCCAGAGCGCCATTTCCCGTGTCAACGGCCGATTCACCATTGCTGTAACCTTGGAGAAGGCCTCTTTGGACGGATATCCATTGAGGATGGCATTTACAATCGCCCACCCGGATATCCCTGACGCACCGTAGATGAGTGCGTGGTTACCCATTATTTGCTGCAAGAGACGAAAGTATTCAATGCAAGGGGGTTTGGGACTGGGAGATCTATTGGCGAATCTGTTGCAAAGAAAAATTCAGTGATGCAGTGCGAACGGGATGAACTTGGTATAAGTATTTATTTCAGCCCCATCTTTTCGAAACATAAACAGAAAACAATCTTCTTATTCGATGCGAGTAATCAGGAACCATGCACGGTCTAGTGTGGTTATGTTGCTATATACAGTTGGTCGGGCTACGACGGAGAACAATATCCAGTGTGATGCTGACACCTCTTCCCCGCTTCCTTGCATAGCTATGACTCGCAAGGCATGCCTTGTCCTGCAACAATATCCGATGGTTGGCCTGAAAAATACTCTGAGGATGAGAATGGCTGATATCAGTCTGTATTGGGTTGTGTCGGCGATGGTGAGTGGGGGCATAGTAGTGTCGAACCATAGCTGCGCCAAGCCAGGGAGCCAGGATCCCGTGGGTGCTTCAACCACGACCCTACTGTCTCGTAGACACTACGCATCGCACGCATCTGCAACCACCAAATGCTGCATGCCACGGCTGCACTCTCCTTAAGCTCTTTTTCGTGCGTTTTTGCATTTTGCATTTCCTTGGTTTGCAGCGTTCAGGTTTATCAAAGTCAATCGACCGCAATTGCACTTTCGACTGCCCGCACCAAACTTCCGACGCGTCGTCGCTGTTTTGTACAGCCAGCTCATTCACGCCTGCTTTTCTGTATATTTGTCGCAGTTTTCTGGGCTAACACATAGTATCTATGGCTACAATCAGGGTCGGTCAGACGGTAGAGACGACCGGTGAGCAGCAGGGGATAGTTCGATATGTGGGACCTATCCACGTATCTGATGGCACGTTTGTGGGCATAGAGCTGCCCACTCCTACTGGCAAAAACGATGGATCTGTACGTGGAGAGCGCTACTTTTCATGTCCACCGGGCCATGGCTTGTTCATACGTGATTCAAGTATTGCGGCTATAATATCACAACCAGCTCCACCGCCGCCTTCTACCCCCAAATCAGCCGCCCCAAAACCGAAACCACCGACGACTACGCCCAGAGCTCGACCTCCGAGTGTCGTTGCGCCGAAGCCTGGTCCTCCCGCAAGACCAACAGTAAACAAGCGACAATCCGTTGTAGGCCTTCCAGCCCAAGCCGCCCTTCGCGGACCCGCCCGTAAAGCCAGCGTTGCAAGTATCTCCAGCAATCCTCCGGCAGAGAGTTCCCGCCCCGCTCCACCGGCATCCCGACCAAGCATCGCCTCATCAGTCGCCAGTAATCCTACAAAGCTGCCTCGAGATGGCAATATCGAAACACTGCAAACGAAGATTCGGCATCTAGAGAAACAGCACGCAGAGGATCAAGAAAGGCTCAGAGAACTTACGCAAATTAGAGATGAGCGGGATCGGTTTAATGGTATCATACAGAAGCTTCAGGCGAAATGCCAGTCCCAATATAGCGAGATGCAAGAGCTGAAAGATGCGCTGAAGGCTGTTCAGCAGGAAAATGAAGCCCTCACCAAGGCGCACCAAGATCATGAAGTAGATCTAGAGGATGCGTTAGTCGACAAGGAAATGGCAGAGGAGAGGGCGGATCAGGCGGAATCAGAGCTGGAGTCATTGCGTAAACGGGTGGAAGAACAGAGCCTAGAACTTGACATTCTCCGAGACGAAGCCGAACTTTTCACAACAGAAATGTCTGAAGAGCAGAAGCAAGAGGCTGGTTACTATCGCTTGCAACACGAAAATGATCGCCTAAGGAATGCGCTCATCACTCTCAAAGAAATGACAGAGGAGAGAGAACAGGACCAGAAGGCAAGGATTGCCGGACTGGAAGCCGACCTCGCGCAGCTCGAACGGTTGGAGCAGGAAAATGCCGCTCTTCAAGAGCGCGCTACTGAGTCTGACTCACTTGTCGACCATTTGAAGCAACAACTTGATGCCGCCAATGAATACGAGGATATGGTAGGGGAATTGAGCCATCAGAACCAAAATCTGCAAGATAGGATTGCGGAGCAAGAGATGGTTGTACAAGACCTCGAGAACCTACGAGAGCTCAATGACGAACTTGAGGTTCAGCATCTTGAACAAGAGGAGGATATGCTTGCGGAGATTGAGATGAAGGACGCTGAACTTGCTGAACAAGCACGACTGATTGCCGACCAAGCTGCTATCATTGCTGACAATGAATCTCTCATCACTAAATTCCGAGACCTCGTTATGGACCTGCAGACAAGAATGGCAGACGCCGAATCCTCTAAGAACATGACAGAAGCTCAAGTCAAGGACACTACCGGGCGATTCAACCAAGTCATGGATCTGAACCGACAGCTCCATGCCGCCACTGTCTTGTCCACCACACGAGAAATTGAGGCCTCCTTAATTTCTTTGAAGGCTGATCAGCTTGCGGAGAAGCTTGAGATCTGGAACGAGACGGAATCAAAGGAGTTCACTCGCAGCGAATCCCTCCAGGCTTATCTCACTGCAGAGAGGATTGTTGGCAAATCAGAACTACTCATGAATGTGCTACGGAGCACCAGCCGCCAGATGGGCAATGGCGGCCGACTGGACGATGCTTTGACTAGACTTGTTTGTGGTCAATCCGTCGCCCATCTCGAGATGATTAAAGATGGCAGCCAACGCCTTTGGTCCGCTATCCGTAGCCTGACCCTGGCTGAGTTTGCAAACATCGGACCCACCTACCAAGAATTGATTACTGTAGAGCAAGTTCTCGATCAAGGCCTCAATGCCTTAAAGGCAGACACAGTCAACTTTGACGACTTTGCTGGAGCTCTTGAGCGTTCTACCAAAACACAGGAAGCAATCCTCTCAAGCCATCAAGATATTCTGGCTGAGCGACCAGAAGGCGAGCTGGTATCTAGAATCACTTCCATTCATGCTCGCCTTGATTACATCGCCCATATGTACGACCTGGCTACGTTTACTCTTCAAAAGCTTCCCGAAAACATACTCGACGAGTGCGAGTACACTCCAGAGCATTTCAAGACACCAGTTGAGACCACACAAGGTGCGCTTGCGGCTGCGACCAAGTTGCTAAAAGTCGTGGAGGCTTTGACTGCAGACAACATGTATCCCCGCCTTCCAGACGGCCTAGAGGAGGCCATTCGATTCGACGAAGGACTAGCCCAGGCTGCGCAGGGAATTGCTAACTTTACCCGAAGTCTCGTGGAAGAAGTTGCAAAGTGTGTCAACCTCTCAGATCCAGAGTCACTCTCTGAAGGTGAGATGGCTGCCACAAAGGCTGCAATCGATGATCTGGATTCGAAGCAGCAGTCCATTTTCGTAACTGCTGGCTTAAATAGTCTTACAACCAGCTTGCGGCACTGGACTG